TTTTTTTATATTGTTGTTGTTGTTGTCCTTCCTTCTCTAATGCACTCTTCAGAATCTTTTTACGCTAACCACAGTCCTATGGATACAGGCCGCTATACTTTCAAGCTGTGCTTTTAACCAGCGCCACCTCATCTGGCCTCCGGCTTATGCTCCCGGCTATCCTATCATCTGCGACAGGTGCTTTGACGGGGCTCTTAATCACCAAGACGCGCCGCCTACATTGGCCACTTGTGGGCGCCGCAGCACTGTATCTGTGTACTATCATATGTCTCATCTGCATTCAGCGCGGCTTGTCCGCTGCTATGTATTTACTCGCCTTAGTTCCATACTCTGTTGCGAATGGACTACAGTACACTACTACCGCTGTGGCGGTCCTTGCCACATCTACGCGAGACGAGCAGGCCATAGTCATGAGCACTCTTACCATCTGGCGCAGCCTAGGCACAGTCTTAGGCGTCGCACTCAGCAGCGTCCTTGTTCAGAATGCACTCATACGATGCCTCCATGTCTTTGTCCATGGGCTGCACAAAGATGAGGTCATTGCCCTGGCGCGGGCCTCAATCCAGGCCATTGCAAAGCTGGACCAACCATATAGGGAACAGGTAGTGCAAAGCTACGAGGCTGCATTACGGCTAGGATTCGGATCATGTCTCATTATCGGAGTTATTTCTGCGCTCCTAATTGTGCCCATTAAATTACCACGGTTGCCGTCGTCTGCGAAGCGCTAGATTGAATCTTTTCAACGCTTTACAAGCGGCAATCCCTCGCTTCGCTCGACAGCTTGATATTTTAGACTTATTAATATCCAATAATAATTTTTTTTAATTCAAATTTTCGATTCCCCCCACTGTTCTAATGGACAATATCCGAGCCGCAGTATACATATTATTGTTCAGTTAAATGGAAAAGACAATAACAAGGGTCAATATTACCATGTAGCCAGGCACGCTATACAATATAGCATTAAACTATAAATATATGAATCCAAGTCTATAGAACAATTAAATTCATATGAAAAGCAAAAAGCCAAACTATACAGAGACAACTTATACATAACCTTGTAAAAACATGGATTACACAAGTGGGAGATGGCCTTAGAATGTAAATCTATCAGTAAATCGGAAAGGAAACGATCAAGTGCCCTAGGTACCTATTAAGGGACTTTTCAAGGAGAAATTGTTGATTAGTTAATTCTGACTATAAGGTATTATCTAAATAACAATCTGACAAAAGGGGCGACAGCCCTAGGCCTAACTGCCGCTTTTATGCTGCTTGGTTAAGGGCGGCCCTCAACGCCTCTACTTCAGCATCACTGGCCAGCTCCATCGACGATAGAGCAAGGGCAGCAGAATGAAATGCGGGAGCACGTGTCCTCTCCCATAACATTCTAATATTGGTTGCTCTAACACCTCCGCCAACAATGATCTGAGGCAACCGATCATACCCTTCCATACGTCTCTTTACCTGTACAAGTCGTTCATGTATCAGGCGGTCTAGTTGATCGACACATTCAATCGCCGACCCACCGGACGGGCCACTCGTCAGGATAGAGGTAAACCCACACTCCACGATGTCGGCAAGGGCAAAATCCCAGTTCGATTCCGGTATCAGGTCAAACGCGCGATGGAAGGTACATGGCCTGCCTTGTGCAAGCTCAACCAATTCTTTGTTTCTCGCCACATCAATCCGAGAAACAGCCTGCGCTGGTGCATCCTGAGTCAAAATACCAAATACAAAGCCATCTGCTCCTTTCTCCATGAGCGATTCCATTGTACGCTTCATGGTCTCGAAGTCCGTGTCGCTGTAATAGAAGCTCTCTGCATGTGGTCGGATCATCACATAGACCGGGATGGAAATCTGAGATTTCAATCTGGCCACAGTCTCGGGCTCTGGCGACAAGCCTCCTGATGCATAGTCCCGACATAACCTTGATAGTGTTAGCCCCTAGTTTCAAACAGAGCACGCGCAAGCATAGAGTATTTTGGTTGAGTACATTGAATTGCCTCGAGGCAAATATGGTCCCTCAACTTACGCGTTCTTGACTAAGATAGAGACGACTCACTCAATACGATCAGCTCCAGCACTGGCAGCAATAATAGCCGACTCTTCATTGAAGCAAGCAATCTCTAACAGAGGTGCGGTGACATCCTTGCGCAATCCATCCTTGGTCGAATCGCTCAACGCGGAGCCTGGCTCGATGTGCTCCATGTTTTCTATCCGTCATAAGTGACACTCAGATTGCTGTGTTCATTATATCTGCATTCTGTGGAAAACTTACTCTTGTGTCTCGAACACAGCTTTCGATGTGCTTCAATATCTCCTTTTCAATATCTCCAAGTGAACTCGAACTCAAAGTGGCTTTGACAGTTGCCTTAATGCCTCGGGCAAGTGTGTTTCAGCGCTATTCCCTTTTAGGCATCAAAGGATCAAAGCTGTTCCGCTCCGGACATATTGGATATGTGTGTTAGAAGTTAGAACGCTGGGGGCATGGTATTAGCATACGCGAAGTTCCTCCCTCTTCAAAGGCTCTTGCAGAGATCCTGTAATCATTATTTATGCTGTTAACCAATCTTCGCTATGTACGACCTCAACTGGTATCCTTGACGGTGATATGACCCAGGGTTAATATAGATTGACAGTATATATTTCCTCCGAATCTCCAAGTTACAAGCGTTTTTGTAACACACACATAATTCGCTTTGATTGAACCAGCCAGCTTTTTTTAAACGACTGGCCCAGAAAAGCTACTATGTATCCGTAGAAGCTCTGGTGCTATGGCTCGGGTTCACGGACTTATCAAGGATCATGCGGGGTTGAGGATTGCCGCCGGCTAATTAACCTAACAACAGAATATCAACAAACCCCCGTAGCCCAGCGAAGTCTTCTATACACTCTTTACAAATTTTTACACAATACTTTGAGCCTATAAGAAGTCATGGTCAAGCGTCCTGTCATTGCAGTTGCAGGATTGGCCTGTGAAACGTCTACCTTCACTCCCTCGCGAACCCTTGCGCCTGCATTCCATCCCCGCAGGGGAAATGAGGTTATCGATGAATACAAGTTCCTACAAACAGGCACACCACTTGGCGACGCAGCAGAATGGCACGGTGCTTTAATTGGTCATGCATTACCAGGTGGTATGGTGACACGCGATGCCTTCGAGCGGCTGGCAGGAGAGATTTGTGGGCGTTTGGGCGACATTATTTCGACTACGGTCGTTCATGGCCTCTGGTTTGATATTCACGGCGCTATGTGTGTTGAGGAAATCGATGACGCCGAGGTTGAACTTATGCGACGGATCAGAGGTGTTATCGGTCCTGATATCATTGTGTCGGCGTCGATGGATTTACATGGAAATGTGTCTAGAGAACTAGCTCACGAGTTGGACCTTTTAACCTGTTATCGGACAGCTCCCCATGTAGATGAGTCAGATACTAAAGAGCGAGCGTGTTGCAACCTTGTTGGCCTTCTTGCGCAGGCTTCTGACACCGCTGGAGGTCCGGTACGACTCCTCAAAGCATGGATTCCGGTGCCCATATTACTGCCCGGAGAGCAAACCTCTACGCGTATAGAGCCGGCCAAGAGTCTTTATGAGGCTGTGCCTGAAGTGGAGGCAGAATCGGGGGTGATCGATGCCGCGATATGGGTCGGATACCCCTGGGCCGACGAGCCTCGAAATCGCGGCTCTATTGTTGTCACGGGATGGGATGAAACGGCCATTGCTGCTGGGGCGGAACGTTTGGCAAAGAGGTTCTGGGACTCGCGCAAGGATTTCAAGTTTGTCGCACCGACAGCATCATTCCGAGAGTGTATCGACACTGCGTTGGCCTCACCTGTCCACCCTTTCTTCATCTCCGACTCAGGTGATAACCCGACTGCGGGCGGTTCAGGCGATGTGACCTGGGGACTGACACGGCTACTTGAGCGATCTGAGTTCAAGGACCCTTCCGGGCCGACAGTTATATATGCTAGCGTCCCGGGGCCGCAAGCTGTCCAGACAATGGTTGAGGCAGGCGTCGGTGCTAATGTTACCGTTACTGCGGGAGCGGAAGTGGACCATATCCATGCCGGTCCTATCACTATGACGGGACGCGTTCATTCGATCAAGCATGGCGACAAGGACGCTGTAATCGAGGCAGTCTTGCAGGTTGGCAGTGTGTTTGCGATTCTGACTCAACTTCGCAAACCTTACCATCACGAGCGTGACTTTACTGATCTCAACCTGAACCCTCGTGCTACGGATATAGTGATCGTTAAGATTGGATACCTAGAGCCGGAACTGTTTGATATGGCTGCAGACTGGATGCTTGGGCTCACTCCAGGTGGTGTGGACCAAGACATCAAGCGACTAGGGCATAAACGCATTCGTCGGCCGATGTGGCCTTTCGATACTACTTTTCAGGAGCCCCCCGATTTAACGGCACGGATGATTGCGAAGTCTAATGAACCGATGGATGGACCTGATGAGTGACAGGATCTATGTCTTAAATGTTCTGCAATAGCTAAATGGGTAAGGTGGACATGCTTGAGCATACATTAATCATTGGTATAGGCCATAGTTATCTACCTGTAATATCAGTTCTGGGCTTACATGGACCTCAACGTGGACCAAACTCCAGGGGCTTTGGCTGACCCCACCAGTCGCATGGGTTAAATCTCCAGGCTCCATTACCCGCGGCGAACCAGTACTTGACTAGGTAGGGCAACACCCAGGGAAAGGGAGGAAAGTCATGGCCGCCTTCGTAGGTCTTGTCGGCACAGCCAAGCACCACGGGGAAGGCATCGTACTGTAGCAGACAAATTAGAACCCCACCTGCCGGTGTCCTATGCATAACATGTAAGAGAAAGTTGGGTGGGAACATACAAGCATCGCCAGATTCCCTGATTGCTTTGCAACCTTCTCAGCCTTTTCCCATATCTTGTTCAACCCAGCGCTGTCGAAGTCTCCCATGCTCAAGAAGACATCGATCTCAGCGTAGAGGTGATCGGTCAGGTCCTTGCTGAATGAGTCGAATATTTTCTCCATGCCATCGGCCCCGTGCCACCGGTACTTCTCTGGTGTCATAGCTGAGGAATATGCAAGCAGTTTCTCTAGCCCGTCATGGAAGAGCTCGTGCTGATGCTTCGAGTCACCCATAAATCCTGGCCTACAGGTAAACTTCTCGATCTCTGGGAACATGCAAGTTTCCTCGACCCAGTGGTGGTGATGGACCATCTTGACCCACGACTGAACGTAGAAGAGGAGGTCCTTGACGTCCTGTGCTTTAAAGTGTTCGTCCGTGGCAATGGGCACGTACGGGGCCTGCTGGAGGATAGCATTCAGCCCTCGTATAATGACATTATGCGCGTGTGCCATCTGAGTGGCACCGTAAATATGACCAAGTGATTCCTGAGCAGTCAGTCAGTCGGTGCCATTCAGTTCTTCCTGCAAGACTGTGAGCACATACATCCAAGCTCTTTGACGGCGTTGTGATCAAGTGAAATGGCTCGTCTGCCCATGGGGCGCTCGAGGGTTTCGTTGTCATGGTCCGATGCAATGTTTTAACTTGAAATGGATGTGAAGTTTGATTCTATGGTTGAACACGGGCAGAGCTGCGCTTATAAGGGGCTCTAAAGCAAACACTCGTATGCCAAAATCTTGGTGTCTGTGCGAGAGCCAAGCAATGGAATACGGATCTAACCCAGCGGGCTGGCTTATCCACGCTGTTTGCTGATTTTAAGTCACCAATGGCAGGGTCTAAAAAGTAAGCTGACTGTGCTGGGTCTTTCAATGATAGATTAATTAGCGAGATTGTTGGTTTGTTCGACGTCTATTGGTTCCCAAGGCGGAAATTTGAAATGGGAGGCCCTATTGCCTCAGCCTCGGAGAACCTTAAATATCGTGACGCTGTATCCCAGCTGCCACAGCTGCCCAAGCGCTCAGCAATACGATAGGAAATTGTGTTGCTGCCTAGCCAGACTATTCGCCAGGTAAGTCATGAATCGAAGGGGAGAATGCCGCTGTGATTCACTAAACTTATCATGGGCATATCATGTCTCTACTCGTCTCCAATGGTCTTTCTCTAGCGCCTCTGGGTATATCTTATTGGTGGAAAATGGGAACTTTAACTCGTACTTCCTCGGGGTATGTCATTCTTGCACTAAACATTTCTACTAGTGAGCTTCAGGAGTCGGGCAGAAAGCTTCGAGGGTGTCCGGATATGCAGTATTCCCTGCGCAAGATCCCATGATATCTCACATGGAAAGGTAGAGGGATAAAGCAGTTCTGCCTTAACAGGACGCCCACAGAGAACAGGAATAGGCAGCTCAACAGAATCTGGGCCTCCTCGTCTCCAGACTGCTAAATAGCGGACGCCCGAATCACAATTGCCAGGTGTATGCACCTCCATCCCTAATGTGACCCAGTCATCATGCCAGTGAGGAAGACCGAGAGGCCAGAAAGCAGTAGCCGTGGTCAAGTCGGCGCGAATTGTACGGTATACATCCATACCTTGCTTGATAAGCTCAGATTGTTGCGGCGTAAGTTTGTCCAGGCGTCCGCTTAGATGTATGCGACCGAGAAGACTATTAACCACCGTCATCGCATTGGTCTCGTCATCCCACTCCGGCTGAGGGTATGCCCAGGTGGCACCTTGCTCGGGGGTAACAGCTGTTGGAAGAGCGGCAGCAATTGCTGCGTAACGACCGGGATCTTGTTGGTCGCTAGTTGACTGCAAGGCATGGACAGCCAACATAGCATAATCCATTCTCTGAGCGCCGCTCGAGCAGTTTTCAATTACCAAGCCAGGATACCGGTCATGCAGCTCACTCACCCAGTGCAGGTACGCCCGATTGTGATCTAATTGACCAGACCCTGGGCTTGAACAATTGATGTCGGTGCCTTGGGTGACTTCGATGTTATAGTCGAACTTAAAATAACCTACACCATATTCGGTGACTAGCCGGTGCATAATAGCATGCATGTGTTCTCGGACGGCTGCGTGGCGATAGTCTAGCTGGTAACGCCCTTTTTCAACGATGCGCTGACCATTTCGTTGAAAGAACGCTTCATATGGTAACTGTTTGGCAACAACGCTGCGTACTCCAATTACTTCCGGCTCGATCCAGAGGCCTGGAATGAGGCCTTTGGTTTTCAAGTGCAAAAGTAGTTCCTTGAATCCCATCGGAAAACGCTTCTTCGACGGTTCCCACAACCCAACGTCATCCCACCAGCCGGAATCATCTGCATACCAACCAGCGTCGATAACAAAGTATTCAGCCCCAGTTCGTAGCACAGGGTTGACAAGTGCCAGGATCTTCTCGTCAGTGGGGTCACCCATAAGACAATTCATATAATCATTAAAGATAATAGGCAATCGCTCATGATCCTGGTGTTTCCGTCGCATCTGTCGCCGGTAGCGGGTCATCTCCGCAAATGCATGTTCGTAGTCCCCCAGGACATGGCATAAAGCCACAGGCACGGTGGTGAACTTCTGTCCCGGGGAGAGCGTTTGTCTCCAATCATGGTCGGTCTCGGCCGGGCCGCCAGCAGCCAGATAGACACTGTCTTTCCAGTCACCGACTTCCCAGCGCCAGGAGCCATTGTTTTCCACTTGCCAAAGCCATGTTTCACCATTGTCAGTGCGCTTCAAAAGGCCCATAGGTAAATGGCCCTCTGTTGAGAAGGTCCCTCGGTTGGAAACCGAATAGTGACCTAAGCTGGCCGCATGTCCCTCAGGACGCCCATACACGCCGTAATCGTCTATACCCAAACTGGGTAGATCGTAATCGATCCATTGTGCCTCCCTGAACCATGAATTATTAGGGACTGTGAGAATGTAGTCGGACCACCATCTTTCAGCGCCAGTGGTTAGCCCACCCAGGACCAAAGAGGTCAGTTGTGTCACCACAATATCTTTATCACTATCATTTCGGATTGTGCTTGTCGCACGGAGTACACTGGTGTTTTTGTAGACTGTGAGGTGCGCAATGACTGTCACTATAGAAACGGAGTCTTTCAATGTGACGTTCAGAGTATGGGTGCCCGCTTGCTGCCTGATCTCATGCGATTGGTAGCGCAGTCGGGTCCCCACGTACGTGCCTATCAGAGACTTGGACGATTTATGTTTTTCAGTACCTTCCCCCGCCAGCCGCACCTCCACCAGCGGTGTGTAAGAATTAGCGAAGTATTTAGATACCGACGGTCGAGAAGAACCGGACAAGTGAATCATTTCCTGCAGGAAAGCAGATCCTTGATCATCAATGTAGACATTGACACGCAAGACATCGCTTTGTAGCGTAATGATCTTAGGGAGGGGCATATTCAAGGGGAAGACTCGGGCTCCAATCTCAGAACGGTGTGAGTAGATTATCTGACTCGTGGGCCTTCGAAAGTAGATCTTCGCTTCACTTTCTCATTTGCCGGTAACTCACGCATAGAGGAATGAACTCGACTCAGAGATGGCTGTGAAGAACTTCTTTCTTATAAGAATAGGAGCCTGTAGTTCATGTTATGAGGTGGGGAAATGGCACCCTGGGGTTGGTGGAAATTGTTAGAGACAGGGTTTTGCGTAAATAGGCTGAATATCCTGGCAAGGCATCTCCGCATTTTGAGGGCAACTTCTCGTCAACATAGGTTGAAGCTTGATGCATCTAGAAACTACCCCTCTCAGGAAAATTAATATAGTATGATAGAGTATAGCCCTTTCCTATCAAATTGAACTCTAACTGATACCGACTCGCCATTTATTTTACTGATCAGATCTGATGAAGTTAAGTCTATTGCAAGCAACATACTCCTAATCGAATATCTTGTCCAGAATTTATCATAGAACCTGTGATGCTCATACATTATCCTTTTAAGCCCATATAAAAATATCATACATTCCTAGTTTACCCAGGCAGCTAGAGCAGCAAAGACACAGCATCACCACCCCACACCACACTGCTGGAAACACGTGGTAGGGTTCTAACAATCACGTTGGACTACATCTGGTGCCAGACAAAATCAATTATCCTTCCCCCTTTTAAACCTTATCAGAGCTCAATTTAACACTATAAGGGCGATCCATAACAAAAAATGAAAGAATCAGGCTGAGTCTCTCTTGGCAGCAAAGTACTCCGTACCTCGCATATCTCAGCCTCGTCTGTTCACCCGGCCCCCATGTTGTTACTTCTCAATGCCCTTATTTCAACCGCAAAGCCATTGTCTTCAAGGTCCCTGGCCAGACGTACAAAATGGTTAATTGTACCTGGCCGGAAGGAATCATTGCGGATATCGATCTGGTGCCCTGTGGCACTCTTAATGGGACACATCCAGTGCTACCATGTTGCGCCCGCGGCGATACCTGCCTCACCGATAACATTTGCGGATATAGTCACTCGACTCAGGGTGGGAGCGGATATTATACCGCCGCATGTACAGCGAATTCCACTTCCTTTGACGATACTGAGAACAAATCTGTCTGTGTAAATCGACGTGGTGAGTCTTAGCTACTGCGCTGGCCCAGCGCCAGGGATATACTGTAGCCACTTCTAACATTCTTCTTGCCCCAAAGGTGATACCTCAATTTTCCCGATATTGTCTACGACTCAGGTGACGATATCTGGAAATGCTGTGGTGGAACATTCGAAAAACGAGATTGCCAATCTCCATCATCAGAAGACAGCTTCCACGCTGCCTCTCAAAATGATCTCATCGCATACTGGTCTGCTGGATCATCGGCTGCCATTCCTTCCAGTCCCCTCACACCTACACCATCAGGATCCTCTTCAGGTTCCACAACTGTCACTGCAGAAAGTCATCTATCAGATGATGGCTCGTCCTCTCTATCCACCGGGGCTAAAGCGGGTATTGGGATCGGTGCCGCGGTTGGGGGTATTTTGCTCATCACTGGGGCTTTCTTTCTCATTCGTCGACGGCGCCAAAAGCACCAAGTCATGCCAGTGACAGAGGGTCCGCTGCTATCCCAATCACCCTTTGCTAGCCCGCCACCGCAAGAGTTATCGGCGACACACAAACGCCTATCAGCGCAAGAGCTAGAATGATCAGAGGGGTTTGAATCCAGTTCGCGTCGGGCTACTTGGGCAAATCTGTGAAACCAAGCCGAAAAAAGAAAAGGTACTTGGTGCTATGAGCCTCTCAGAATAGTCCTGAAAGGCTTCTTGTACGTCGGTACTAGCCTTTTGTCACGAAAAGCGCGGTATACTTTGGCTTGCTGCTTCATGGCAGAAGGACAAGGACGTTTGTTTACCCATATTCAATTCTCAGTATATTAATAGTCTGTGACAGCTCTTTGATATAGATTAATGTTATTAGAGGTAGACCGAAAAGATAAAAAAAAATAAATAGATAGATAGATAAATAAGCCTAAGCTTCAATCCACGACTTTGAGAAAGCTACACGTAGTGGTCGCAGGTCAGCTAGAAAGGCAAATAGTAGTATTAGTCAGTTCAGATCTAGTCCAACTAGTAGTTGCAATGCTAGTTCTAATCCGATTAACAGTTCGAATATCGCTAAGAAGTGATGTTCGGGTCGAACTACTACAGTTAAAGATCTTTGCGACACGTTAGATTTCCCAGTAAAAATATGGGGTGATCGATGTCTTGTTTGAAGATGAAAGACGTTTCCAAAAACAATAAATTGCTGATCAAACAGCTATTTCCATCGGAGTATCCAAATCCCCATGATAGCCCGCAGCTTACTGTGAACCCCCAGACGTTTACAAATTGGAGATGTTTCGGGACATGGCCGTTGCTCGACTGTAAAGGTTCTACAACTCTGCATACAGCGCATCAATCGCTTAGCTTGCACAGACTATGGTTGCCGAACCTCTAATTAGAGTCGAGCATAGTAAAGCATAAGGCATTGAAAGACAGCTGCAGCCTCATGCATCAAACCGAGAGTCAACCAGCCCCCCTTCTTACAATTCCTTCGTCGCACAATTAAGGTAATTTCCTACAGGGAATGTGATTGCTGTGCAGTATAAGTCTCTGTTTCGCCTCATTTTTCTGTTCTGTATCTAGGTGCTCAGCCAGCCTTCTCCCTTACATACCATCGCCCATACCAGGAGCGGGAAGGAAGGCGACTGTTCTGCTCCAGCCTCCAATTCTCAACGATGGCTTTCATCCAGTATGTATGTATCCATGCTAGTAGGTCTGCAGGTCAAACTGCAGTGTTCTCTCGGTGGAGGGATAGCACTTTGTCAGTTCGTCCGATTGCACCACACATACGTGAAGGGTAAGTACTCCGGAGGAGCATAAGGATTGCAGAGGATTTTATAAATTGAGCGGCAGGAAAGACCCACACGAACTTTGGCCAGCAAATTAGCAGCCTCTAAAGTGAGACATGCAGCAGGATTGTTTGAGTCAGCATGGAATTTCCAGTGAAAATTTCGTATTGCCAAGACAATTAGGGTAGTGGGATTAATATCAAGCCTGAGCGAAATGTAACCTGAACGGCGCAGAGCGGGCCAACTTGCAGCGCTAGTCCGCTTGGCCTATCAATAAACAAACAATAATATGCAATAAGTTCGAACTATCGACGGGCTTACCGCGATTGGTAAGACGCTATTCAATTGCCCTGATATGAATGAGGAACTTCGGTCTCCACCGTCTGTGTAATCTGACCAATGCTTCTCGTAATGGTAATCCGTTTGATATCAGAGATTCAAGATCCCATGAGATCCGGGCTCGATGATTGGGCCTTCAAATGTGATTGGTGCATGTGTAGCTGTGCGCTCCTTGCTTTCCCCGTAGCCTCGATGATCAGCCGCAGCTGAGAAGAATTTGGCTATCGTCAGAACGGCAGCGAAAGTGTAGATCTAAATTCCCCATCTAACGTGCTTCCTCTGACTGGCCTAGATTGCGTGACTCCGATGAGGTCTGTCGGACAACGTATATATAGCTTGATAAAGCCCTCACTCATGCCAGCCTTCCGTGTGCAAATCCACGGCCGCTTCCACCACGCCAGTGGTACTCGCCCATCATGAAGTTCCTCGTCACGATAGTGACCCTCCTCTTCTCTTTGGTCTCTGCGCAGACTGTGCCTGATGTCAGCAGCCTTGCTGTACAAAAGCATCTCCGCTCCCGATCTGCATTGATCGCGTTCGAGAAGAGGCAGCGACAAGGTCTGTACCTGCAAAAAATTAACAAAACTGGTCGAAAATGCTAACATAGCGGTAGATCACTTTTTCCGTCAAAATCTCTCCTCTGTAGCCCAAAAAGCGGACGCCATCGTGGCAGCTATTCGCCAGGAGGAAATCGACGAGTACTGGAGAGTCCCTGGAACCCCGGAGAAGAATGATACCGATGAAAGGTTCGCCGGTGAGGTCTTCCCGAAAGCCCGGCCGTTGATCAATGGAACCAAGCTCTGGGACGTGGTCAAGCACATGCCAAAGGGTGCTCTTTTACATGCGCATTTGCCGGCCATGCTTCCCTATGATACCATTCTGGAGACCATCCTTCACACGGAGGGTATGGTCATCTCCGCCTCTCAGGATTTATCCACCGAGGATAACCGCAAGAATGCCTCCATCTCGTTTGCCCATGTCAACCATACCCTCCCGACCAATGTATCGTCGGTCCATTCTAAGGATTATATCCCTAACACGCAAATTCCCGTGACTGTGGCTGCCAAAACTTTCCCGGGTGGTGAACAGGGATTCATCGACTTCGTCAATACCAAAGTGACCATCTCCCCTGAGCTGTCTGTACGTCACGAATTGGGAGTCGATGAGATCTGGCGTGTCTTCCAGGCCGCCTTTGGTCCCGCAGACACCATGCTGTCGTACGAGCCCATTGTCCGGACGTTCTACAAGAAGCTCTTTTCGCGCCTGGCCGAAGACCACATCAACTGGGTAGAAATTCGTGCTGGAGGGTCGAGCGGCAAGCTGGTCCATGAGGGCCAGGAGGACCCTGATCCGGATCTGGACATTTGGTGGAACGTTCTGCTGGAGGAGCTGGAGAAGTTTCAGAAAACTCCGGAGGGCGCACACTTCTGGGGAGCGAGGGTCATCTGGTCTGACAGCCGAGGCAAGAACCGTGCCTCGCTGACCAAGAGTATGTAGAAATTGCCGAGATCATTGTGCTCTGTATCTAACGAGTTCACACAGGCATGAAAATTGCTCTTGAGCGGAAGCGCAGGTGAGACTTCTAACTTTCCAAGATGAACTATGACGTTCTTGTTTGTTAACAGATCTTTATTAGACACCCTCAGCTCTTTTCAGGCTACGATGTTGTGGCTCAGGAAGACTTAGGCCGTCCGCTCGCCGATATGGCACCCGAATTGATCTGGTTCCAGCAACAGGCCGAGGAGTCGAACCTCACTATCCCTTTCTTTTTCCATGCGGGTGAGACCCTCGGCGATGGAAATTCGACCGACCTCAACTTGTTCGATGCGGTTCTGTTCGGCACACGCCGTATCGGACACGGGTTCTCCCTGTACAAGCACCCGAGGCTGATTGATGAGGTGATCGAGAACGGGATCATGGTTGAAGTTTGCCCTATCTCGAATGAAGTCCTGCGTCTAGCCACCGATGCCCTTCACCATCCCCTCCCGGCAATGATTGCCCACGGTATTCCGACAGCCATCAGCAACGACGATCCGGCGATCCTTGGTCAGAACGCAGCTGGTCTGAGCTACGACTTCTATCAGACAATTCAAGCCTTCGATAATATTGGTCTTGCTGGCCTGGTAAGCTCTCTCCCGTGGTACTTTCATATTTAAAAGAACGCGGCTAACAAGAAGACAATAGGGAGCGCTCGCGCAGAACAGTATCCGATGGAGCAACTTTGAAGATCAGAACGACGTTGAGTGGGTTCGTGATATTGACTTGGGTGAGAATGGCGACGGCATTAAGGCCCAGCGCTTGCAGGAGTGGAAGGAGAAGTGGGAGGCCTTCTGTGAGTGGGTTGTGAAGGAGTATGGGGACCGTTACGCCACGGAGGAAATCTGATGCCTGTAATTGGGCCAGTGAATGCTAGACTGATATCTCATCTTTCCATGGCATTGCCTTATATTAGCTATTTCACACCAAATGTAAGGAAGTCGAACTTGGTTATGGTCTATGGTAGATTACAGAATAAGCTCACAGTGATCGAAGAGCGACCTGAGCCAACTCTGATGCAGATGCTTGAGTACTTACGACTGGGTCGACCATCAGTCATCAAAATACCTGTCACCGCATGTCATTGATCCATTATTGCCTGTTGGCAGTATTCCCGTGTAGTATAACCAAGTTCCCCGTGTCCCATCACCTTTTGCAACGCAGAGTTCAGCGAGGGTATGTTCTCAGCTTAGGGCACCAATTTCCAAAATGAGCCCAACGACGTGCATCCTGCCCTGACATATGCATCATCTGTTCTGCACAGGCGAGGGCTGCTTCGAAGTCAAGACTATTGGTCGTTTTGTGGTTATATTGTACTGTACAGTAATTCGGCCATAGAAGCACTGTTTCCGTCTGTTCTCTCTGAATCGCCCTCAATGCTGTTTTCCCCTAGAGAGGGCTCGATATTCTATCAATCCTCGACTTTACTGTGGAGAACTCAACGGAAGTGTCTCTGAGCCCTGTGGACTGATTGACCCTAGCGAACGAGACGATTGACACCCTTGCGCCGTGACAAGCTTTCCGGTTGCAGCAAGGCATCGCGATATTTCGTCAGACACCGTTGGATTACCTCATATGTCGTAGAGCACCCATCGAAGTGCTTTGCATTCAGCTTAGAGGCATTCCTACGTGTCAGCAGGCAGATGCGACCGTGGAAAAGCAATGGCGCACTGCATAATATAACCGAGGTAGCATATTCAGAACGACAAAAGGAACCCTTCGGCTTCTTCGAGTCAGGCGCCATAGATCACGACCTTGGAACGGAAGTCCATATCAATATGATATATTCACGAAAGACCGATCGAGGAATGCATGACGTGCGTATCTGATATATGTCGCCAACCAATATATCGATACAAGAGAGTCGTTTTTCTGCTATCGGAACGCGCGCTTGGCGGACTAAATCGCACCGGAAACCTCATACTAAGGCACATCGTTCCTGCTGCTCCATAGTCCATTCTTGGTGTTCTGTCAACCCATCTTCAGGGTAAGCTTCGGGGTCTGCGCAACAAGCACTCCCATCAGAACAATCTATCCGGAATGAAGCTTCATGTCTTGGTGTTGCCAATCTCTTAGCGCCCGGTCGGAGGACGGCTAGGGCAACGAATAACATCGACAGGCGCTGGCGGGTGGCTGAATATTAACTCACATCCCTGTCATGCAAGTCATCTTGGCTCATGGGAAATCTGTAGTTGTCGCTATGTCAATCTAGCCCGTGTAGAGCATATCGACTGGATAAAGTTGTCTGAAGATCATTATCAAAGGAATACAACTCGATGGTCCAATGGAACTTCAATTTGTAACGTTGAACATCTCTAATATTAGGAGATGGCAGCATTAACCACAGCATAACTGGCAAATTGACAATATGTAGGGAGAGATAGCAGTAAGCCCATCCTCCCATACGAAAGAGCAAGCACAGAAACCGGCTCAGTGGGGAGATAGACAAGAGAGACAGTGTCCAAGAGGGAAGAAATGTATCCGACAGCAATTGTGCCAACACATCTTCCACTGGTGCGAGTGAAACGGCGCGATTTAAATAAGCTAGGTCCGCAAAGGTGTATTTCTACTCCGTACTAAATTCCATTCTATTACCTTAGAGCTGGGGTCGATGACGCCGTGCTCTCAAGCAAACCAATATAGAGTAGCGAGCCAAGCCGCCGGCATACACGCCGACTGGAGATCGTTTACATAGTATACTATACTTATTGTGGTTGGAGAACTCCATCCTTCTACAGTCCAACTGCAGCCTGATAGAGCATGAATTATGACGCCTATGAGGATCAGTCTTAGCGTGTGACGGTTTAATTATTTTCCAATCCGCTAAGATCCACCATGAATATCATTATAATTCCCACAAGCGAGATGAGTGTCCGGCCGAATGTGGCGACATTTGTCTTGGCCGCCGAGATTCTACGGTAACTGGTGGTTCACGGTGTTGCCGAACCTGGGAACCACAAAGTTCTTTTCTTAATGTAAATGTGCTACGCATAACATGTACAATTTGCCTTTGTTTCGGATCAATTGACCCCGTTAAGTATAGTATTAAAATTCTCGGCGTTTGCCCAACCAAAAGGCCAAATAGTTCACTGCCTCTTGACAACTACGCCTCATCTTTATCGGCGAACGGAAGATCTTCGGCCAGGCCTTTTCCCAATCAGGTAATTTAAAAGAGAAAGTGCATGGAAGCTACCAAAAGATCTGCACCGATAGGTTCGAACTTTGATAGCGTTTCAAACAATGCTAAGCGCGGCAATGGGGAATTTAGAAAAACGTGGTTGCAGTAATGATAAGATACAGTACCTTAAACAAGCGAACACAATGATTATTGAATAATTGTATTAGAGTAACAGGGCCTATCTCACTATCTCGGTGGAGCAGAAGCCCGATAGCTCGTTTAGACTCCGCCCTAGATACAGATATCAAGCTTGTATCCAGATCTAGATTATTAAGGATGTGGAGAAAGTTTGAGTCGGTATGCCGGTAATCCTTATCCTTAATGTCTAGTGGATTGTCTGTACAGCGCTCTCTGATGATGTCTGGATTATTACAGCATCTACAGAGACGATTGAGGGCTGTTCTAGTATAGATGTAGCAGAGCATCACAGCATGCCTTTCATGGCGGAAGACGGAATCCGAACAGCACAAAGGGGTTCTAGAAGGCATCTAGGATCAACTATCGAGGTCTCCACCGGCTTCACGAAGTCTACACCGAAGCGCACCGGGCCGGGAACCGGCAGCATACCGGTGGAACCGACCGGGTAGAAATTAGATAGTGCATGTGAGCAGCGGTAGCCTAAGGAACCGACTGGAGAACCTCCCATCATATTCCCCGACACGGCGTCTTTATTGGCACAAACCAGCCGCTAACCGCGTGCCGAGTCCTTCCCCAGGAGAGTGATTGTTCCATCGCCTCTTCCCCCGGAGTGCAGCCCCCACTGGAGAGTGACCGACCTGAGTCGAAAAATAGTAAATCCGGAGTAGCGATGCGGGGAGAAGGGTATCAAACAGTAAAGCCCTAAGGTGGTATGCGTCTCGCCTCCACCCCTTGCGCAGAAAAACCCGCAACAAGTAACACAAACGATATTCAATTTGCATCGTGTTGTTCCTGCTTTCCCCTTGATATTGATGCAACCCTCGGGTGACGTACCATCTCGGCCAGCCCGGATCCGGCACGCTTTCCTGTCCTGATGGCAGCACTCAAGGTCTCGCCACCGAAACTAATCCTACTTTGTCCACTCAATAAAGCACTGATTCTTTCATACTACGTACCCCGGTCAACTCCAGGCAGCCAAGCCGCCATTCGAGAAAGTGTCCAATTACATAATATATCAATTACCTAATGGCAGGACGGAAGGAAGTCCCTTCCCCAGACCGAATCCAGGTGGCCATGCGGAGGTTGTCTCACTCCACGGGTTCTAACCTCACTAACCGTAGAGAGGCAACCGGTGACGTACAGACGTGGAGAAATTGTCTCTTTCCTCCTATCGTCGGGAAACCGAGTGGTAATATCCGTACGTTATGAAAATCAATCATTGGCCTCCCGATGTGGAGGAGATTTTCCGCCAGACGCCGCTGTTATCAGCAGTGCCGAACAGGAGGTGTTCTGTCACGGCCCATCGGCACCACTTTTCTGCAGGGAAGGTATTCCAGTGAGCCAATGCGAGTCTCGAATTGTCCTACGTCTCGGCGGGTGTTCCACATGCAGCCGTGGGACTGTATCTAAGCAGTGGCACACAGCCTCGTTGAACGTTTGTTCTGCAACCATTCTAGTCTTCCTTCCGTATTCGGTCATCTTATGCGGTCGTGAACAATACTACTCCGTACATTCCGATGAGACAAGAAAGCAAGGGGAAACGGAAAACGGGAAAGAACCGCGGGATCTGCATTGTGAGATCATCGTCACGGATTTAGGGCAAAGATTTAGCCCTTTGAGGCGTGAGAATAAGAGTTTTAAGGGCGTGCCGCAAGTGCTGACTCAGCAGTTCCAGCCAATCAGAGTCTGGGGCAGAAAATTCTGGATGGAGTCGAGGCAAAAGTTAAACCTAAAACCCTAATTATGGAGAATATCGAAAAGAAGGAAAAAAGAAAAGGCAAAAAAAAAAAATTATTAACGGAACATAACCGCTCGGTTGGGGATTTTAGTCTATTTGTTAGTTATACCCGACTCCAACCGCCTCCCCAGTGGTCCTAGCTGCTCCTAAAATACTGCGGCGGCGCCGTTGTTTTTCTATTCTTTCTCCTTATGATCCTTTTTGCGACTCATCCATCCCTATCGACAACATGACCGTACACAGAGAAGCCGAGTTGGCTGCCATTCAGAATGGCCCCAACTATGATGACCATTATGCCGATGTGGAGAAGAAGGAATACAGTGAGGATGTGCCAGCAAACGATCCATTCGGTAACGAGGAAGAAGGAGAAGTCAAGTATCGTGTTATGGGTTGGTGGTAAGCTTCCAATGCTCCATGCAAAAATGAGTGCCGTTGTTGTTCAACGGTGCTGTGCTTCCAATACGGTCGCTGACCTAGGCAATTTGACTACAGGCAATGTGGAATGTGTAAGCAGTCCTACACTCGGTTCCTGGACCATAACTCTGAACATGCTGTCTAACGCGCCCATGTATAGTGATGATCGCGGAGAATATGTCCCTAGGCATTCTATCGCTTCCGTCCGCAATGGCAACACTAGGACTTGTCCCGTAGGTGTCATCTCATCTCATAGGTCAATTAACAAGAGAAAGACTGACGAACAACTCCAGAGGAGTGATTATTCTTGTCGGAATGTCCGGCGTATCATGGTACACAGGTTATGTTATCGGACAGTTTAAGCTTCGCTTCCCTCAAACGCACAGCATGGGTGACGCCGGAGAGCTTATTTTGGGACGTTTTGGACGGGAAATGATGGGTATTGGCCAACTGCTCCTCTTGATCTTCCTGATGGCTAGCCATATCCTTACGTTCTCGGTGCTATTCAATACCATCACCGGTCACGGAACCTGCACCATTGTCTTCGCTGTCATTGGAATGGTCGTCAGCTTCATCGGCGCCCTTCCACGTACCATGAACAAGGTGTACTATATGTCCATTGTCTGTCAGTACTTCCACTACCCAGGCATCTTACAAACTGTTACTGACAATCCTTCCAGCTTGCATTAGTATCATCGCAGCGACCTTTATCACCATGATTTCCATCGGAGTCCAGGCCCCTGATCATGTCCAGGTCGATGCGACCAGGGACGTTAGTTTCCAGGATGCATTTTTGGCTGTGTGCAACATTATCTTTGCCTATAGTATGGCTTGACCACCTCTCCGACATATCGTACCGCTTTTTCTAACCGCATCACAGTCACTCACGTTGCCTTCTTCGGACTCATCTCGGAAATGAGAGACCCTCGGGAATTCCCCAAGTCGTTGACCATGCTTCAAGTGGTGGACACGTCCATGTACGTCGTCACAGCGATCGTCGCCTATCGTTATGCCGGCCCAGATATCGCATCCCCCGCCCTTTCGTCTGCAGGACCTGTCATGAAGAAGGTTGCTTACGGCATTGCGATGCCCACTGTGCGTTTAGTCCTGATTTCCCTCACCGGTTCAACTTTCTCACTAGTCCATAGGTTGTCATTGCCGGTGTTATCTACGGCCACGTTGCCTGCAAATACATTTATGTTCGCGTTTTCCGTGGCTCTGACCACATGCACCAGAAGAGCATGCTTGCTGTTGGAACCTGGGTTGGCATTGCGCTCGCCCTGTGGGTGATCGCATGGGTCATTGCTGAGTCCATTCCCGTCTTCAACGACCTTCTGAGTTTGATTGTATGCATCCTCATCCACCCCCAATGTTCCTTGTCTGTTGCTAATTCATTCCCTATAGAGTGCCCTTTTCGGTAGTTGGTTCAGTTATGGATTCCCCGCCATTTTCTGGTTGGTCATGAACAAGGGAGTCTGGTTCTCTTCTCCCCGGAAGATCCTCCTGACCATCGTCAACCTGATCATCCTCGGCATTGCCTGCGCCATTGTATGTCTTTTACCTTCTCCATTGTTTCTCGTTGCGATATTAACCTCTCTGCAGTGCGGTTTGGGACTCTACGTCTCGGGTAAATCGATCCACGAGAACTCCTCTTCTGCTAGCTGGACCTGTGCCAACAACGCCGTCTAATTCTCTCTTTTACGGCACCGTCCACCCACAACAATACACACGTACCGTGTCGATGACTTCCTACGAGAAGATCTTGGGATGGGCTCGTTAGAAACAGCCATTTCGATTATAGCGGGCCTATAGTTTTTGGGACTCGGCCATCGCCCAGTCACCAGATTCAAGGCTGTTCTAATGGTTACTATATATATTAGCATCTTGATCGGCATCTTAGAAAGCGTCAAGGGATCTGTACTGTACATAGAATATCTAGAGAGCTTCACTTTTTTGCATGTGACATGAAGTCAAATGAACATAAATTCTTTGCATTCAATTTTTGGTCGTCATGCGTGGTCTGTGGTTGTCAGCATCACCTTCATTCAGCGGCCCGTAGCGATAAAATACCCTCATGCTATTTATCGTGGGTTTCAATCGATGCTTTTGAATGATGATACTATTCTTCTTTATAATTTACTTGAGAAACGACCAATCGCGACCGTGGTGAACTCATCCTGGAGAGTCACCTAGCTCTGGATTCTTGCCTTCTTTTACCAGAACAATCGTGCCCTGATCCTGTAAGATATAGAGTTAGACTCTCTTTAGCAGTGATTAATTGAATCAACTCCTGGGTCTGTCTAGATAAAAGGAATTTACATTGTGCTGGATTCGCTTGATAGTGCGTCAAAATATATATCTTTCCAAGAACATGAACACACAAAACTGGTGGTGAAGGGCATATTGCAAACGACCCACAGGAATACAATATCGAAATGAAAAGCTTAAACAAGAGACGTACCCCTACTCAGTGTCTTCCGCACTAGTAATTGATAATCAACTATAGAATTGTGGATAACTGGTCCGATTTTAAGAGTAGAAACAGCCACTCTGCAGGCTTGGCGCATAGAGGATAGAGATCCCACGAAGGTCATGAACGTCCATATTAGTATGGCTATTAGATTGCCAATGGATTTATTTTGGCTCATTACACGTTGGATACAATATACTTTTACTCAAATGACTAAACGAGTAGGAATTCCGAAGATTATGGAAGCATTTTCTGATTGTCGTAAAACTCTTCGCTATACATAATAACTAGCAGGGAGAACTATAGACGAAGCACCAATTTACCAACCTGTTTACCTTGCCAGACGTACTCAATGGCCTCATCGGCCTTTTCAAATGGGTAGACCGAGTCGATAATATCATCGAACTTGATTTGTGTGGCCGACAGCGCATCACAAAGATCGTCTTGATCCTGCTTGGATCCAGCGTTGATTCCCCTAATAATGAAAATTAGCCCCTGCTCAGGCAGGTCATCTGGGTATGTAATGAGGCCTCACCTTAGGATAACTCTCCTATCGATTAGGACGGAAAGAAGTTCTGCGAATTCACTGGTATCCTGCTTGCTGAGATATCCCACCTGGCTAACAATTCCGCCACGTCGTGTACACTTCATGCTCTTCACCAGCGTGGAGGATCCACCAACTTCAACCACGATATCGACACCGGCGCCATCGGTCAACTTCAGAACTTCCTCGTGCCACTCGGGGTTCTTGGAGTAGTTCACAGTCAACAGCGGGGGGCTGGGGAACTGCTCCTTCATCTTCTGCAGCTTTGCGTCGCTCGAAGAGGTCATGATCACCTTCAGGCCTGCGGCTCGCGCCAACTTGAGCGCAAACATGGCCACGCCGCCGGTACCTTTCGAGTCGTTAGAATATAAAAGAGCCTAACTCTCAGTTGTAGTGGACAGACCTTGAATCAGGACAGTTTGACCAATTTCCATACCCTTCAGCGCCGCCCATGCGGTCACTCCGGCGCAAGGGATAAGACTTGCTTGGACCCAGTCGAGGTACGTGGGCAGCTTGCACAGCTTGTGCTCATCGAACACGATGTAATCTGCCAGTACTCCATCCTCATCGGCCGCTAGCCAAGACCGAGTCTTTTCCCGTCCGGTGATGTTCTCTGTGTCCACGATCGGGGCTGCGCGATCCCCAATCGCCAGGTTCTTCACCCTCTCGCCGACGGCGACCACCTCACCCGCTGCATCATTGCAGGGGATCCCATGGGGTACGACCGGCCACGGGTTGCCTCCGTTGGCAATGTTGGCGTCTCTGTAATTGAGCGACACGGCATGGACCTTGATTAAGACCCCCGAGGGAGATAGGGGAGGGATTGCTTCGGTGACAAGCTTCACCTTGGGGGTACCAGGAGTATGATCGTCCGTTCGGCGAAAAGCCTGGCGGGATGTAGGTTGTGGTTGAGACATGTTGGTTTGTGTTATAGTCAGATTCTCTTTTGATTGTTGAGTATTTGCTTCGTAATTTGTTCGTGGTTGAAGCAGCTGTCCCGTTTATTTATCAGTGGCATCTCTAAGCCCGGAACCAAACATCCATGACGACGAATTACCCCACCACCTGTGCGGGGGAAAACATGACGACGTTGGCATACTGAACTTGAATCTATACTTGCATCTATACTCATCCCGCCGGGCTGTTGTGCTCTCATTTTCTTCACCAAATTGGGGCTAGTGATCCCGAGTGTATTATTAATTCAAGTTCATTATCTTCTTCCGACCCGATCGGCTGACATCCCGACACCTGGTGACCTTCTAGAGATAGAGATTCATACAAGCAAATTTTTTTTTTTTAGCGATGGGAGCTCACTTTACCTTCCAATCTCAGTCACTGGGGTCTGCAGCAGGAGTAGTTCCTGTTCTACGTGTGTCAGTCCGGAGTTGGTCTCGTTACAAGGGATCGACAACTTTGCCGGTTGAAGGTGAGATTTCCTCGGTGCTGATGTGCAGGGAAACTGAGAATTTGGGAAGCCAGTATGCTATTCACAGATCATCAAACATGGTAGGTTCTACTACTTTTCTGCGACACGGTTCAGCTAAAAGGTAATGGCACATTTTATGGTACTAAATTGTTTCATTGCAACATGGCCGCGACTAGCTCAGCCCTCTCTTCAAAACAGTTCACTTCCGCCAGCTATATACAGTTTTAAAAGTAGCTAGCAACAGCCTCCCCAAGCACGTCTAAGCGCGGCGTGATTCCTAAGCCTGGTGTGGTTGGCGCGGTGACGAAGCCATCTTGGACGTCAAACGCTCCATCCGCAGTCTTGACCGTGACCATATCCCGACTTTCCAAGATGCAACGCAAAGATCGCTCCGGGATGGTTTGGGCCAGATGCACAATTGCGGCAAATGCGATGTCCGAACCCGTCGTCTCCTGAACACTCATACTATAGCCCGCTGCCAGGCAGATGTCCCGCTGACGGCGGCCTCTGGTCAAACCACCAGATTTGGAAATCTTCAGGTCAACACCTTCTGCCGCGTCGTCAGCGAGAATCTTGATGATGGACATCTCATTCGTGGCAAGTTCGTCGTAGATGATCGGAATATCGGTCCTCCGTCGGAGAGACACACACTCACGCCAGGTGGCGCAAGGGGCCTCCAACACAAAATCCAGACCATGAGGCAACAGCCTCAAGAACCGTAGAGCAGTTTCCACCGATAATCCACCGTTGGCATCCACAATAAAGAACTCGTCGGGTTGCTGGTCAGCAAGAGCCGCTGCGACCCGCGCGGCGTCAAGGACAGGTTCTCCTGCGATTTTAACTGAGTGTCCTTTGTATCCCCTTGCGCGATATTTGGCCACTCGGGCGCGCATGTCCTCCGGCTCTCCGACATAAATAGAGGAGATCAATGACAATCGATTGTCGGTGCGACCACCCAGAAGCTCGCACACGGGCAGTCCGACCGACTTGCCAAAGATATCCCAGCAAGCCACGTCGATAGCTGTCTTGGCATCTTCATGCCCGAGCAATGCATCGTCCATCGCATCATTGATGCGGTCGACTCTTCGTGGGTCCAGACCGATCAGGCTTGGTGCCATTGTAGCGATACCAGCCCTGACGCCGCGGGCATGGGAAGCAATGTAGTTGGAGCCAAAGGGAGTGCTTTCTCCCCAGCCCTCAATGCCAGTATCCGTGGTTATCCGCACAATGGTAGCGTCAAAGCTCCGGTACTCTCGCCCGGCAGAGAGGTAGTAGACACCGCCTGAATAGGGCAGGTCGACTTGAAAAACATCGATCCGTGCAATTTTCAAGTCTGACATGTTTGCTGAGTTGCTGGAGTAAGTTTGCAGCGAGGGAGAAAGTAAAACGATACGTCAGCGTGCTTTAGGCAAGAACAGACCAAAATCTCACACGTCCGAAGTAAAAGTTGGGGGCAAACTTAGTTGTTATATAGTCGAGCTCTCGGGAATAAAGGCGAGAGTACCGAATGGATTGGGGCCAACCCTCGGCTTGTAAAAGTCACTAGAACGTAAAACATTTTCTCTCTCGTGCTCAAAAAGCATATTCCAACGGAATGCATATCCGAGAAAGGTCGGGATCTTTCTTCGCTCACGCGCAAATGGGTGTCGGGAGTATTACCGTTTTCCTATTCTCATGGCGCATGGGCTGCGACTCGATAGCCATCAGGGTTCCTGCGGGGAAGTTTCTTTTGGGTGAACTAACCCCTTAGCAACCTGGGAAATTATAGCTTAGATGGGAATGCTCACCGGACTGGCGTGAATTGAGGGGGACATCTCTGTTTCCCCGCACATTGGCAGCTCGAGGGTCTGTGCCTGTGCTCAGTATGAGTTGCCGATTCTACCTATTCGAGCAGATAATACCTCCAGTGGAACATATAGTTGTTTATTCAGTGGGCATTTTGGGGTACCTATCTGTTATCTCAGCCCCACGTCTCTTAACGACCTATGAAAGAGGGAAAGCGACCCTGCCACAGGCTACATCACAGTATGAGAACTCCCCTCCCCCCTCTTCCCTCAAAGCAGGTATAATGGACTTCGCGTACTAGTTCAAGCGAAGTGGATCACTGTGTAGCTGTTTCTTTCGAAAATCAACTCAAGGAAGATGGTGGTGATGAGGTATGGTTGCCTTACTCATACTAACACTATAATCTGTGTACAATTCATTTTGTTCCAACCGTGTGCTAACCCTTTACCATTCACCGTTCATTGTTCGCACCTTCTCAACAGATATATTGCCCATCATAATAGGCGCAGATGACCATGCGAAATAGCAAAGATGGTGTGATATGATCCTTGTAGGGGACTGGTTATCGTTGAGGTCTTTCGGCACGGAAGGATCAGAGAAACTGATTGCAAGCTCACACAGCCACAGCACCATATGATGGGTTACTCAAGCCTCTCGACAAATTGGATGTAGCATGGAGAACCACAAGGTGTGACCGACTTTCAATTTCGATGTCAATACAATATACAATCAAGAAACGCATGTAGATCGTAGGTCGTGGTCCCCATACTGACTCTATGTGATTAGTGTGATAGTGAAGCCGATGAGCCGAAGGAATAGCACCCTTGTCTGATACTGGGGCAAATATAAGGATTTTAGATTAATTATATATACATTGTAGGGTTGGTATCCGTGAACAAGGCAAGACAACGCGGTAGCGCGGTACATATCACGCTACAATTGATTAACAACCAACCATGTTTCAGATGACGAATACAGCCGCAAATCTATCTCCATGCGCCTTCTATGGACATCGAAGCATTTTAGCTTTGTAGACCCCTCCAAGCAAGCAAAAGGACCCAATCACGGAGGGGCTTCCAGCAACTAGTTGGACTTATCCGCTTACATTGATAGTATACCAACGAACATACATCAGCCAAGCCTCACGGCAAGACGATCTATCACCCGTCCGGGCAACGGCAAATCTCCGATTGGGGTGCGGCTGCTGTTTCACCGAACTTCGGTCTTTTCAGGGTACGAAGACTGCCCCGGAGTCCCGGACGCCGTAGGGACCTACTCGAGTGGGTAAGTCGGTAGTATCAATGTTTCCATGACTCAGTAGGATTGTGTGTCCGAGTCTAGCTTACATGATATTCTGCAAGACGCGTGTACATGGATTGCCATTTCTTAGATGCTATCGAGAATGCCGGCACGGCCAAGTCTATGAGGCCACTACTATACGGGGGTTTTTACGGTTAGGAAATAAACACAGCCGATGATCATTGAACAGAATTTGCAGTATAACTCCTGTGTATATTAGATTGTATGTTACAGGGAGGTCGCAATTGCCGAGTATCTTGTCTCATTTTGAAACACGGTCAAACCGTGGCAGCAACAAGCGTATCCCTAGGAGTCTTTCGACTGTTAGGCAGGGCTGAGCCCTACAACAAAAACGGCTGTTGGAATTGATGGAACCTCAAGATAATATCCTCTTTTGGCAAGGGGATCGTCCCGTACCCGATTTGGTCTTTGGCTATACATTGAAGTCAGTCCGGTAGGGTGGGAAACGCTCTGTATGACAGTCTGTTCGTTAGAAGAACATTTATCCTAATTTAAATTTGTTGTGACATGATCCCAATACAAAATAATCGCATTTACAAATTGTTAGAATCGAAATAACCGACCATGGCACAGACTTTCTAGAACGCGTTAAACAACACGCTAAAGTATACCGAGCCAGAGATGAGGGTGGGCCCTACGGCAGGTAGTCTAATTCTATGGTAATGGTTTGAAGAGATTACGAATCACTATCAGGGAATGCAAACCAAAGATCACATACTGTCTGTCTCTGCAGATCTCTGGCACTCAAAGTGGAAGGGCCAAGTGTTTAGAATTTGAATCGTATATATTCCACTTGGCGTAGAATCTCAACCAATATCAACGTAGACACTGATTTTTGTGAGAGATATTATCAACCAAAAGGGAGATGTGAACGGCGATCACCAGCCCATGTCTCTACTGAGAAGCTAATATATTCATGTTTCAGGTAATCGTTGAGTTTCCGCCATAGGAATATCTTAGACAGTATTATCTTTGCCGATATTTCGGTCACAGTAAGGGTGATGAGCAAAAAAAAAAAAAAAAAAAAAAGGTCACACCATTCTAGCTCAGGGTCTCGAAAAACTTATATACTGTAGGGCAAATTGTTAGAAGTCAGAAAAGGACTCTGGATATTCTCGGCGGATCGTCGGAGAATTCACCCCAACCAGGGCCATTTTTTCAAACGAGTCAGTGAAATAGATTCTGGGAAATTTTCTGATTAAACCCTTAATCAAGTTGCGGCTAGCACAAAGGAACGGTTCCTCAACGGTTGTAAAATGTAATCTAGATGCGTATCCGATGTTGCCGTGTCTGTGGAGATAGACGGGGATTGCCCCGAACGGTAAGCTTAACACACGATCTTACATATGCAGTATACCGACATAAATCACATCAGCAGTAGGATCCATGCCATTGTCCTGTCCATGTCCTATCCAGCCAAGTCACTGTCAGATTAGCCTTGATTACATAGAGTCGGACGAAGCTGCCAATGATTTGGCTGAAACGCATCAGCAGAAATCTAGCTTTGAGACAATCATACATCTGCTGCACAACTTGCCTTAGGCTATAGGAAGGGGCTCAAAGTGCCTGTTGACCTATTGCATGTTCTATAATGTACCGATGATATACGAAAAAGGGAAACTGAATCCGGTATCCCCGCTTGGATCCTCTGTGGGGGCGAGGGGGTGGTGGGATCGCTTACGAAGAACTGGAGAACACACGCTCTACGGTTCCTCAAACAATAAAAGAACAAGGGGCAAAGATGGCAGTGTCCATGGATCGTCATGAACAAGATTAATGTTCCACCTCCATCATATGATGGGCGCCTTCTTCCCCAAACAGACAAGGATTTTCGAGGCCTACGAACGTATAAAGGACAGGACATGTCCTATAGACGTTGGGGATACTAAATCGGTTTATTCTATAAGTCATTCGCTCATTTTTCATAGAATAGCTGGTAGTTTCCAAGATGTTTGCCAAACTTTCCCTCCTTTCTCTTCTCCTCACCTCTACTGCCTTTGCTGCCGGCGGCCAGGGTCTGTCCTACGACAACATCGACAAGTCGGCCACCCCCGGCGCCAAAGCGCTTCTGAAATACATTCAGTCTCAGTACGGATCGCATTACATTTCCGGTCAGCAGGATGCAGGCAGCTGGGACTGGGTCAAGCAGAACATTGGCGTCTCCCCTGCGATCCTAGGTAGCGACTTCATGTATTACTCGCCTTCGGCGGTTGCTCACGGCGGCAAGTCTCACGCCGTCGAGGATGTGATCCAGCACGCAGATCGTAACGGAATCAACGCCCTGGTCTGGCATTGGTACGCTCCTACTTGTCTGCTCGACAACGCGGAACAGCCGTGGTACAGCGGATTCTACACCAAGGCCACCTGCTTCAACGTTGCCGATGCCGTCAACGACCGTCGCAACGGGACCAACTATCGCCTCCTGTTGCGGGATATCGATGCCATCGCCGCCCAGATCAAGCGCCTTGATCAGGCCAATGTTCCGATTCTCTTCCGCCCGCTCCACGAGCCCGAGGGTGGATGGTTCTGGTGGGGTGCTCAGGGTCCTGCCCCGTTCAAGAAGCTCTGGGATATGATCTACGACCGCATCACTCGCTTCCACAACCTCCACAACGTGGTGTGGGTATGCAACACCGCTGAGGCTGATTGGTATCCCGGAAATGACAAGTGTGATATCGCCACCGTCGACCACTACGCCGATGCTGGTGACCATGGCGTCCTCGGAGAGAAATACAAGAAGCTCCAAGCCGTTACCAACAATGAGAGAGTCTTGGCTCTGGCCGAAGTCGGTCCCATTCCAGATCCCACCGTACAGGCCCGCGATAAGGTCAACTGGGCTTATTGGATGGTGTGGAACGATGAATTCATCAAGGACGGCAAGCAGAACTCCAAGCAGTTCCTGCAGAACGTGTACAACAACACCCGGGTTGTTACGCTCGATGGTGGCTCCAAGCTCGGCAACTGGAAGCAGGCTTAAAGCGACCTGGTGATCGATGGCGAGGGCATTTAATTCCATTTGACGTCCATGGACTTATATGCTCCTTAGTTTTGTCGCTGCAACAAAAGCCGACTGTCAAGGTATAACTTGGCTTATCCAATCCTTTATCTATTTCTTTTAGTTGTCGTGTCCTCTGAAAGAGTGACAAAGTCTAATGTTTTACTTTCTTCTACGGGGCGCGTAGACCCTACATCAATTGAACTCCTCGAGGATCTTTTACTTGGAAAGAACACCGTAGCAGAGCCCGTAGTCTTTACCGTTGGTACATGGGTAATCTTGATATATTGTAAATCTTGATTTTTCTCGATGTAGTATATCAAAAGATCGTAGCGGAAGAAATTATTGATTGGTCCTAGGAAAAGAACACTGAATATATATATATATAGACACACTTTGTCATAAACTTCATTAGGGTCTATCTTAGCACCTTGCATTCAATAACAGTATTATAGTTGCTTCTAAGGTATGAGTTTCTATTATCTAATAGGGCTGTTAGCACTCACTCAACCAACTGCTCCGTAAACGCAAGAAACAGGGCTTTCTGTGCTTCAAGCACTCTCGTTGATCGATTGATCGATCTCTAAGCCCATCAGGCAAGTCCCGTGTCCAGAAAAGGGAGGGTAACGCCTCTAGGAAGTCGAAGGTCGTAGCAGGTGTGAGCAAAGCTGCAAGATTCCAAAATTCGGAATCTCCATGCAGAAAATTATTGACACAGCTGCTCATCTTGATCTTAACATACTGGAGAAATTTGGTTGTCCAAACGACAGGTAAGCAGTACTAGACTATTTACAATTGACGCAAGGTGAAGTGCCCTTCATTGAATGTGTTTACATTGAAATATTAGGGAAAGACAGGCTCCATCTGCCTCTTCGCTCCCAGCTGTATCCTCTTACATCTCTTGAGGAATGAGAAAGGATGTGATTAAATATCGTTTGCGGATGAGAAACACAAGTTCACTTGCCCAACGTAGCTGCCCATCGTATCAGATCTTCAAGAATTGAATCAGTGCCCTCAGCAAGGTATTTGGCCCAATTGTAGCCTCAAGTTTATCCAACGTTTTCAAAAGTGTCTCGTAAAGCTCCGTGATTATACGTCTCGTATACTCTAGACTGCCAGCAGCCTCCATCTCGGAGAGTATGTACGACCGTATTTCCTGGGACATACCAGTCCTGTGCCCACCAAACATCAACCCGCGAATTCTGTCTGCCGTTGGGCTATTATTCAACGTATGGATCAAGATCACGGAGAACTTTCCCTCTGATAGATCTTCGCAGAAGCCCTTTGTTGCCGCATACTATGTCGTGGTTAGTAGATGTTGATGGCATTTGCAGCATTAAATGTAATGTTGAAAACGTCTTATCAAGTCAGAGCAGCATATTGCCAACGTACCTCTTCAGATACCAGGTTTTGATAATCATCACGTATCTGATAATATCTTCCTAGAAGGGTGATAAAATGAAGCAATGTGTCCTCTTTCTCAAGAGATATTGGCACTGACGCTTCTGCGGCCATCATCCGTAGAACAAGCCGGAAGAAGCCGGCGGTCTTGTTGTCAATCATAATAATGTAGTCCTTCATCGAAGGACATTTCCTGTGGAATTTCCAGTGGAGCTCGAGGGCTTGACCCGAAAAGAGGTTGTCCAGTTCGTCTATAAATATGGTCCAGTCAGAGACCCTGCCAAACTGATAACGTATATTCAGGAGTGTGCACTAACCAAACAAGGCCATTTTGCATGCATTTGAATGTCTCAGCTTCTCACAGAGTAATAATGCCTTAGCACCAGTATACGACACACAATTGACCGTCTGGGCGACACCGTACATGATGTGTGCCGCTGGCATTCCGCGTCGTTTTGACGAGTCATCCTGAATATCATCCAACCTGATGCATCGAGTGAGTTTTCTCAATAGGGTGCTTCAATAAGTAGTTGTCAGGAGAGAACACCTACATTAACGAGCTATTGAAAAGCATAGTCGAGCAGGTTTTGATGATTTCGGTTGATTCTGCCGGTACACTGAACCAGGTCTTCAGGGTATCAGCCAGTTTGGCCATCGTTCCTTTACCAGGGAGAGAGCTGATGTAGTTATACGGGTCCAGGCATAACTGTTCGCCTCGTTAGTAGAAACAAAAGCAACGTTACACAATGTAACAAACATTTTCTGCATCTGCTTTCTGGAACTTGTCGGTAATATCGAATTCCATATCCGAGTATTCACGACCATTCACAGAGACCTGAGAACCCGCCATGCTCGTTGAGCTACTGTCGGAACCAGAAACATGGCTTTCAGACATAGCATCTAGTTCAAATGTTGATGTAATGCGGCCGTTCAACGCAAGCGGTGCTGGATACCCCTGAAGGCGCCCGAGAGAAGAATCTGGATTTTTAACAAGCCTGGCGCGGTCTTCGGCCGTTGTTGTGAAATCCGTGCGGAAATATCGCTCCGAGTGGGACATCCAATAATTTATTCCCCCAGCCGCTGTCATGACGGCGAAGACATATCCTATTAGATTAGGAGATTTAGTCAAGTTAGAACTTTGCCAGGCGTGAAATTCTTCGAGCGCTCGCTCTTCCAGCTCTAGGATCTCTCGCTTAAGGATTCCTGCAGCCTCATCCTCATTGTAGCCGTAGCCAGACATCAGCAATACCATCGCATTGCCAATCGTGTCCATACTGCCAGCTGAGCTATGTTCCTCAAATTCTTTGGGAAAGCCGTAAAGGTCGTTTAACAGGGCAACGCTCAGGAGTAATTTGTCGACAAAATAAGACACAGAGTCTTTCTCCTGTGGAGAAACCTGCTGGCCCTTGAGACGGCATATTGTGTTTGCCATCAACCTAGATCACAATAACCCTCGTTAGCCTGGCACATACTGCCAAGGAATGTATCTCTAGATGACGAGCGATACCTTGTTCCTGAATGTTCGAGCCTGAATAATTTATACTCATCAAAAGACATGGTATTCTCGACATGAGCGGTTTGCGCGGAGAGAGCCTCTTTCAGGTCCATTTGAAGTGTGTTCGGGTCCCGTACATCAAAGCAACTACTTATCATCGCGATGGCATCGGGAATAAAGTTACACTCAGATGTTGCAGGTTTCCCTGCACTCACAGCAGCCCATGCGTCTGCAAGAATCATGTCATGCTCTTGGGTGTTGGTAAGCACAGAAACCAATGGGGGGGAATTTGATAACTTACAGATTTCTTGTCGCGCGTATCGGTAATATCTGCCTGGATATAAGCACGAGACTATGGCTCCAGCCAGCTTTACACCTACCGTCGAAGTAAAAGAGGAGCTCTGTCAGTTCCACCATGATTGGTATCCAAGACGGCGGACATTCTGGAAACATCCACGAGACAAGGTGGCCATGGGAAGTTATTGTACCATTTCGATTCAAGATTCTGGAATCGATCCCCAGCCTTGCTGCCAATGTCTCCTTTGCTCTCTCTCCTGCCAGTTTAATTTGATTCGAGAACTTTGAGACACGAACCGGGAGAGTACTGTAGAAGCGGTCTGGCGCAAAGCCAATAGTTTCTAGTGGTTCAGAAAACTGGAATGGATAACCTTGATAGGTACTCATTGCAGCTGTTTTTACAAGCAGAAATCTCTCCGAAGATAGACTAATAGTATGAAAAGAAGGGCAAGGTGGTCTAGAGCAAAAGTAATGGCAACGAGGCAACCAGGAGCGCAGACGACTAGTATTTATATCAAACTATAAAACTTTTGCTAGTCTTCTGCCTATCCAGTAGGATAGTACTCTGTAGTGGAAAAGTAATTATCGGTATGCTTGTGCATAAGCTAATAATTTTTTTTTTTTTTTTTATAAATAGTATGATTGATCTAGCGCTCGTCGTCATCTTGAAAAGAGGGTGGAAAAAAGAAGAGCTGAGGGATGTGGGGGCGCATGTGGATTTATAAATGCAAGGTTGCCTTCAGTGTGCCTTCATATAAATATAACTAGTTAATTAAATTATCGATAAGTAAAAAGTTCATTCTGGGAACCCCTATTGATTGCCGAAGCTATCGAAGGATCGGCTTACTATATGGTCACCACTTCTCAACTGCCGTACCTTGATCATCATAATTCGTGCCATCTCGGCTGTTCTACTCCACACTATTATAAGGTAGGTATGGGGTACGGGAAATTTCATCTATCATACGCCACTCTGTCCGGACTCCGCACACCATTGGCAATGGTAAGAAAGCCACGCGACATTTAATTTTCCTTTTTTGTTTAGGGTTTTAGGGCAACCCAGTCGATCCGCCTTTACAGTTTCCTCAACGGGTTTTTTTCTAACCAACCAACACCAGATAATGATTGGTTTCAAACAGACACTCATTCCGAACTAGCTCATTGCCTTGTAACAAAGTATTTACCTACTTGGTTTGTATACCCGACCTTTCGAGAGACTTCATGCTACGATTCTTATGAAGAAACTACTCCACGTAGACCCAATGCCTGCAGACCCCCTCCAGCTGAACTGTAGCAGCTCCTGCAAATTATGTGAAGCATGACTCAGGGTCTGCCTTGGTGCTATTGCAGACAACCGATTGTAGGAAACCTTCGGGTTTTTACGTGATGATATGCTAGTTGAGCGTCAAATAGTCAGTGTCCGAATAAGCAAAAACCAGAAAGGAAGAAAAGCAAAGAAAGAAGTCATTAGAATAAACTCAGAGCTTTAGCTTTTCGCACGGCAGAAAACATAGAACATTCTAGTTCACACCATTCCTGTAGATAGCCAATAGTACAAATATTAGCACTGCTCATATGCGTTTAAATCCAATAGCGCAGTTACACCGGACCACAGCGCAGGGTGGAGGTACGACGAATCGTCAAAGAAGATGGCATCTGGAGCGACTTATATAAACTGCTTCCGTTTCAAATCTGAATAGCATGCTTTGTCTCTACGTTCCAACAGTTCTATTCCTAATTACAACCCCAAATCACACAAAACCCCTCATCATGCGTACCACTGCACTCACTGTCGGTCTTGCGGCCTGCGCCAATCTGGTGTCTGCTATGGCTTTCACGGCTCCTACCCAATGCTTAACAATGAAAGACGCCGCTGAAAAACTGGACATTAGCCGTTGGATTGATCTGTGGATGGAAACTACCTGCAAACGCTGTCAGTCGCCCAAGCTGTCTGATTATCCAACTTCTTTGCGGGAGGGGTTCGTCGTCCCCTTTATGAAGACAAGCTCTGAAAAGATGGAAACTCCTCACCTTTCCTCCGATTATGTTACACTCATTGACAGCCTCTTGGACATGGCCAAAACGGACTGCAATGCAAAGGACTCGGACGACTTATGCGATAATCCTGATCAATTCAAGTCGGTAGCCAAATGTGTCCAAAGCAAGGCCTGGAAGTCTATTCTGCGTAACCCCGGCGCTTTCCTAAACATCCTGTTGGCAGACCCATGCGGTAAACAAATGAAGTTCATTACAGACTCGGACTCTCTTGACAGCGCCATTCGCTCCCATTTGACCGAATACGAGAAAACCTGCCCAAAGAGTAAGTAGGCCATTCCAACCGTCATTCTAGAATTGTATAGACCCAACTAACCTGTCCTTTTGTTGAAACAGTTAGCGAATCGCTCGACGCGTGAAAATTCCCAAGCAAACTGTGCTTGATCCCGATCTGAGCAGCCGTGTTTACTTTCCTTCGACCTCCCCTTCTTGTGAGTGGTTTAGTTGTCTGGTTCTGTGTGCTTGCCCGGCTGTCACGTTTTTCTGCAACTTAACTTGTATTCCAGTTTTAATATAAGGATGCTGCTTATAGTTATCCCGATTCTCGTTGCGAAGATTCCGAAGCGGTATTAATTTACTACTATTTTCATAGACCGTCGATGTGTTTTTTACTTCGTAAATAAATAGAAACAGCTATAGACATGTAACAAACACCATTGGTAAAATAGTAAACGTCATACTAGGGTTATCTGGTTTCATTTATGTGACCAGTGTAACAGTTTATCATCCCCATGTTTATATTCTGCGCATAACCTAGGATGGATGTGGTTATTGTGCGCTTAAATACACTGAGATTTACAGATTCTGGTGAATCAAGCATAAATATTTGACCAGGACGGTTCAAGCTTCGTGTTGTTTGAGCCTTCGGCGCCCTAGGTAGGTAGGTATCAGAAGACCTAATGGTGCATTTCTTTTACGTTTCGCTTTTGATGATTTGTGGAAACGTCTCCAGTTTCCTTATTTGTTACAACAAGCAAACTGGGCAAAACCTTCGGAGTCTTAGAATCCACTTATGGTGGGTAAGACTATGTTATGTTGTTGTGGTGCGCCCCTGACAGCCTCTAGCTTGGTTTTGCCTAGGGGTCGGCTTCTACTTTGGTCAGAAAAGCTACTCTCCGGCTGATTCGAAGTGCTATTTGAACATGGCCCACATATTGTACACACTATGATACTGGGGATCTCGCTCATACACCCGTCATCATAAGCCTTACAACGAATCTGCGAAGGCAAGTTCATATGCAAATCCAAGAGTCAGTCTGCCGTGTTGCAACACATGGTCAAAATTGACGGTATCAATCGTATCATCGGCCGAGTGAATGTACGGGCTGTCGTCGCCAAAGGCTGACTCGAACGCAAATGCGGCAGGATAGCCATACTTCGTAGCAGAAGCATGATCGGAGCATCCATATCCACATTTCGAATCGACGGTCGGGATAGTGCAATACTACGAGTAATCTCTGTGAGCACGGAATACTATCAAAAACAGGGATTGAACTTACAGCATCGACAATGACCTTTAGGAACTTGGTCAGGTTCTCATCCACATTATCGATGATGATACCGATCGACTCCGGCTTTCCAGCATCAGTGGTGCCTTTGGTATAACCTGTCATATCCTGCTGGAGCATGGCTTTCACGTCTCGGCTTTTTTGCGAGTACTGTTCGAAGATGTCCTGACTTCCCAGGAGACCTCCCTCCTCTCCGGCATAAAAGTGGAACTCAACGGTGTTCGGAGCCTCGCCGGCTGCGACCTTCTCGTCCGTTAGGAGAACGCGGAAGGCTTCGAGAATGGTAACAACCCCAGATCCATCGTCATCTGACCACGCGCCTCCGTTAGCATTATGATGTTCTATGATGCCCTATGAACAGGAGGCCTGAAAAACTCACCAGCACCTGGTGCACGGCCCTGGGAAGGCGAATTGAGGTTGATCGAGTCCTGATGCGCTCCAAGCACAATGACCTTGTCACTCTTGCCCGGGATCTTCGCGATCAGACTCGACTGCGGGAAAGAGTGTTTGAAAGGCTCCACAGTGACTCCCTTCGCTCCGCTGGCGGAAATGATTTCCTGGATCTTGCCTTGCAGCCACTCGGATGATTTTTTACCATTGTCGCTCTTGTAATAGCGATTGTGGAACTCCGAGAACGGCTGGAGAACGGTTTCGAAGTTCTTTTTGTCGAGCGACTTGATCAAATTTTGCACAGTCTCGTTATGTTGCACGGAATCGGGATATGTAACCGCGACCTTTTGCTTCTTGTTCGATGCAAGATCCAGGCTACTGGTCCGTCCGGTTATGTCGAGAAAACGCTTGCCCTCCTGTTTCAAGCTTATTAGCGGAATGCTGGGCGTAAAGTTTGAAAGGACATCTCATCGTACCGCTCTCAGAGCCCATTTCTCTGCTTCCGTAACAACTTTCGTTTCTCCCGGGGCCAACTCTAGGACATAACGATCGTCCGAGCGGACATGGTCTCCAATAGCGAGGGCAGAAGCCGTGGCCGCCAAGGTCGCAATGCAGGGGAGGAAGCGCATCTTGAAGGAACGAAAGCGTGTATCACCAAGTCGATACGAACGGGATTCTCGAATAACCGAGGAAGGATGGATATGCGGGCAAGATCCACATTACGAAGAGACGGAACTCGAGATTTTATAGACCAGCGAAGTAGTCACATGGAAAGGCACGGTATATTACTTTTTAACGCCATAGAATATCCCGGGCCAAGTATGATGCAAGATATGAGGAGCTGCTTGGCAAAACACTTGGCACCTCCGCGACCTTCCTGTAATGTAGGGAAATCAGCTGTTTCTGCAGAGATCATTGTAACCTAACAAGTCATGGGATCTAGAGGAAGGAAATCGGAGGGGATGAAGATCTACTGTCTCCAACCCTATCAGACGAGAGAGTCAGGGTACATCAGGGATTCCCCCGCCGGGGGTCCGTAGGGAACCCGCCCTGCCAAGCTTTATAATATCGGCACTTAGTAGAAGATCATTTCTTGGAAGAGAAATAGTCTCGAAACATAACGCGGGATTAATTTGCGTCAATGTAACCCTGGTCCCTGTCGTTGCAAGCCTGACTGACTTGGCAGTAGAATCTTCGCACCTCATCTCGGCAAGTCTCTGACATGTTTTGCAACGGAACCCTGAGCGTTGTTTTGGTCAGCGATATGTAGATTTCAACCCTGATTGCGTGCCTCGGGAAATAAACCATGTAAAGGGCAGCCAAGCTAGAAGCCGCGACTATGTTGGGCTTCTCTGAATATTAGCCGCGCGCATTCAATGTCCCCACATAGTGACGGTCTGTCAATACAGCCACACACGTCAGTGCAGCTTTCTCTGAAACGAGAGCAATCGATGGACGAAGACATGATTCTGCGAGATGCAAGTGTTGTTGCACTCACGCTTTTGGCGTTTGGTGATTTCAGGGTCACTGTTTCCGTAAACATTCAAATTGCAGGGACAGAAAGGTTTTAAGGGAACATAATAAGGCATCGACTCAGTGGAAAACCTTAGGATAACTGAAGTAGATCAATCGCAGAAGTAACCTCCCGGGGACAAGAGGGCCGCTGGCACAGTCTATCAATTAATCAAGTAACCAATCACTGATCTGCCGAGAAAACTGACCATAGGAAACAGGCCAGGAATTCCAGGAGCAGGACAGCTTCCGGCGCCAGCTTATGCGTTCGCGGACGCTATAGCATCGTCAACAGGAAGAATAGGCTTCAACCCCCGGAGTAGATCAAACCATTCCGGAAAAGCACATCCCTTGCATAAGTGTTCCGCGGCTCAGAAGTTGCTTTCCCCTAGGCTGACATGTACATACCTGTACTCGTGGGGTTGTGAAAGAAACACTGGATCACTGAGTATGGAATTGCCCTTGAATTTTCTCCACCCGAGAGGGCGCCAACGGCTCTGGTCATGTATAAGCCGGAACTGGGAACTTTTGTTGCTTTAAGAACTCCAAGATTGGCTCTCCGTCTTCCTCAACTTTTAACACCAGTTTTGGAAGCTCCCTGCGACATATAGCTGTGCAAAAGCGTCAACTAGCGTTGGCGGAGGTCTTGCTTGATTGCGGGGGGAGGTATCAATGGAATAAAGCAGGAGTAGCTCAGTAATCATATCTCCTTGATACCCCTCTACAGATGTTCGTTAATTCCACTGCTAGATCACTGCTTCATTTCCAACTACATCTTTGTTATTCGTTCAATCAAAGCATATCGAGAGCAGGCCCAAGGGAGGGTGTAGATTGCACCTTTGCCGGAAATAAGCCAGCCAGGGCTGTGTTAGCAGTATCACGCAGCAGTGATACTATTGCTCAGAAGAGTAGCATTAACAAAGCACCTGAACGAGCAAGGAAAGAGAAGGGGGTGAGAGAACGAGAGACGATCGAAATAGATGAGGGAAGCCTGCGGGCAACAGGCATCAACACCAGGCATCAGGGCAGCACACTTGCGAATCGTCATAGCCCAAAAGCTGTACCTTTTGGCTTAGCTACTTGGGTCAGTCTCCCCACCACAACAGAGGGAGTATATATGGTGGCGGTGTGGAGGTTGCCCGCGTTAGTGATGTCGATCAGTAGTTGACCATCGGGAGCTGTCGGGAGAAATGGAGATCGGCATTGTCTTGACTCGTCATGTATGTACCTTACCGCTGTGGCTAGCTGAAATCTGCAATCATAAGGTTCTATAGTTTAGTTATACATATACTTCTTCTGTATATGCAAACACATTAGGTTTTGAAGGGAAATTGAGCTGAAAAAACACGTGTTATCAGGCAGAAGTGGTGATAGGTTCATATCAACATGAATATAGTATCAAGAGGACATGGCAATCCGTGTCATTACTGCTACAATTTCCGAGCAACGAAACAATACTGCGCTGCCTCGTCCGAATCGGCCTCCTCTGGCGGCACAAAGAGCTCCATCTTTTCATCCAAGACCTCAAGACCGTTCACTTGCAAGAGATGTTCCCAACCTGTGCGAGAAAAAAGAACACAGTGCTCGTCATTACCCATGAATCGTCGTTTTACCCTTGCGCAATGATCATCGCTATCGTAGTGTTCGATCTTGGCGGGGTTATAGTCATCGGCGGCCAGGACAACCACGCATAGGAGACCCTGTGGCTTCAACCACTTTGCCCAGTTCCCAACGCACGTTTCAATTTCAGCCCGAGTTTCCCGGAAAAGAGCGCGAACATTGAAAATGGCGTCCAGGTCCTGGCTCCCGATTGGACGCTCATAGGTACACATGTCTGCGATTTGAAATTTGCCGCTAGGCACATTTTTCCGACTGAAGTCAATCATCGTGGGCGATTTGTCAATGCCTTCGACCTGATGCCCCGCGGCTGCTAAGCACATGTCCAGAGGCTTCCCCGTTCCGCAGCCAACATCCAGAATACGGGAGTGTGGTTCCAAGTAGCCCAGAGCTCGTTGGATAAACCCGAGAAGAACATGGTCGTCGGCGTAGGCATCTTGGTATGCACCAACAATTGACTGATAATAATCTGGCTCCCCCATTGTTTAGGTATATCCCTTCGGAGACTCGACTTGATGATTTTGATAAGAGATGGATAGAGCTTCTTGTAGATATTTTTTGGTCGTAATCCTTTGCGTTCCTCAGGCTCTCCAATGATAATACCACGTGGGCAGCCGGAAGCTGAAACTACCAAGTCATCAGAGGAGAGGAGAGGAGCATTATTTAAGAGATTCGAGGAACATGCTCAGGTTCATATTCCAATAAAACCAACCACATTGAACAGTCCAGTCTCGCTGGCCTCACTTTACGTAAATGTATTGTGATAACTAGTCACCTAGAAAAGGGTGACGCATGGGATCGCTCCGCAATTCTGATACATCAGTTATGACCCACCATTACTATGAAGCTCCACTTGAGAGTGATACAGCGTGCATATAGCGCTATTATTGCGCCATGACTAGATGTATGTAGACGGTCCGTGGCCAGCAGGCCTGCATAATTCCAAGAATTGCAGCGAAAGCTGAGATATATGCTCAGTCTTTGTACAGATTATCCGACTCATATGAAAGAATGTTATAGAGCTTGCTCGACGAGCGTCATACATTTGGTTGGCTACCTCATCATTATGAACTGACTGAGCATTGGCTTAGGTGATGTCTACAGTTGAAAGGCCATGGATCGAATCCGAACACTCTGCTGCAATGCATTGTCGAATACTGCTACAACCTCGACGTGATTAATGCACGCACACCTCGGCAGGCAACCTACAAACCTACATGTATTGACGCTAAGGTCTTATGGTGGGGCAGCACTGCAGAAACTCTAACCTTTCAATCGATAAGTATTAAATACATCATGAATTGAAAACTAATGGGATTGGTGTCACGCTAAGTTCATGAACTAGATGTATCTAAACTTTCCCTGCCTTCTGCGAGCGCTAGCGCCCCGCACCCGCACTCTAGGGCATGAAACATGGCACGAAGATATTGGCATATTAGGGTCGCCTTCTGAGAATAGTTTAACTTATTACGTTTCCAGGTGGGTTTAACGTCCTCAAATACAACGCAAAGGCTTGAAAGAAGTATCTGCTCAACGGCCGCCCAAAAGTATTAGTCCAAATGATATCGGACCTATTTGCTTTCTTAATCAGGGTGAGTAAGCATCCACGAGCGGTTACCTCGCAATTGAATCAGTAACTGACGAGAAGTTTGTATTAGGGGTATGTCCATCCTGCCTGCTCATGTCGGCAACAACAAAAGAAAATTAGAAAGAAAGAAAGAAAGAAACACTGACATAAGTCATGATAGGTTTGGCAGGCATGTGCCCGCTGCTGGTAATCAGTAATACGTCTCCTGGCTTGCCAATCTGCTTAGGGAGGTAGAGAGGAACCCCCAAGATCTGCACCCTGTGTTGGGTGAATTCGAGCGCCTCATTGAAACCAATCCACGTATATATATGCTCCTCCAGTCCATGCTCCAGGAAGCCCAGGAATATAGGCTTGACATAGAGCAAAATGTGGAGATTCATGACTGCCATAAGTTGCTACGAGTCCTCAACCACATCATTACGCATGCACCTCCTTGGACTGATGACCATCCCGGTGTGCCGGTGCTTGTCCTCCTTAAATCCTCTATGCCAACAGTTAGTGGCTACGCATTTTTCCAGGATCCTGAGGTGAACAAGCTCATCAAGAAGACTCTGAGTGCGTGGGCTGATTTCCTGTCTTCACCGGAATCGGCTTGTGTGCTCAATACTTCTACAGCTGGTTGGTTCAGCACCAGGGCCCTTTGGAGGTTGACTGACACGGCAAACATCGGCGGCGATGGCTTTGAATTCGAGGAGCTGTATATCTGTAATCCCGATGCTCCACACTATGGCTTCAAGTCTTGGGATGATTTTTTCACTCGCAAATTCAGAGAGGGTATTCGACCAGTTGCCTTTCCAGATGATGATAGTGTCATCGTCAACCCTTGCGAGTCGCAGCCCTTTGCTGTTGCGAGGCAGGTCAAAGCCCGTGACTCATTCTGGATTAAAGGAAAGACGTACTCGTTGTCTGATATGCTTGGAGATACTTTTGTAGCGCGCTTCCTTGATGGGACGGTCTACCAAGGTTACCTGGATACTTTCAGCTATCACTGATGGCACTCACCTGTTTCAGGAAAGATTGTTAAGTCTTACGTACTGGATGGCACGTATTCTTCCACCCCGGAGGCTTTGAATGTCAACCCTCCGAATAAGGGTCCCGGAAATGAGATCCCTTACCAAGGATACCTAGCGGCCATGGCAACACGCGCTGTGATACTTATTGAAGCAGAGAACTCAGAAATTGGACTGATGGCATTTCTAGCCATTGGCATGGCTGAGATATCAACTTGTGAGATCTCTGTGTGCGAAGGAGATTATTTGAAAAAGGGTGATGAGCTCGGTATGTTCCATTACGGGGGCTCCTCGCATTGTTTGATCTTCCAAAAGGGTGTCAATGTCACGGGGTTTCCTGAAGTTGGAGGGGAAAAGAATATACCCGTTCGAGGTCAGTTGGCAATTGTGACGCCAATGGAGATGGATGGTTTCCAAGTTGTATAATACCCAAGTACATCATTGGAAGTTTCTCTAAGAATTCTCCCTACTGTAGCTCTCTAGGAACCATCAGGCCGTTCGACAAACTATCTTTGCCTTCTAAATATGAATATATGAAATATGAATAGCTTTTCAATGTCTAATGTAACAGCCAGTTCCTCCAGTCGGCGTTTCATAGTGCCTATTGCCAAGATTCAACCACACTGTCTCCGCTCCTTTTGGGACAGGAGGTGCAGGATCTCCTCGGAGCTGGGTGTGTGTGAATCCCTAGCTAGGTCCGTACTTGGTCAGTATGAACTACTAGTCTGCATTTGTCTCGTCTGAATCTCACGTTGCCTTACGCTCCTCTTCACCGCGATTTCCTTTCTACAATATGCATGGCAAAGCTCGTCATCCTGCACGAGCTGGGATGTGTATCTGCATGTACTATTTACTCCCGAGAATATAATCTTGCCGAGCTGAAAGATCGGACCTCTCACAAGAAGTCTACAGGTCTGGGCGTGGCGAGCTGAGGCAAGGCCAATAGCCCATGTATGTCTACGTGGCTTCGGCCGCTCTCTTGCCCTGATTGGGCGGACCTACGGTGAATCCCAGTATGCATGCAAACGAGGCTCATGCAGGAATATGGAAGGGCCAAGTGGAGGGTTAATCCCACTGGCATTTTCTAACGTAATAGAAACGGGCTGTAGGCTCTCATGGATGTTTTTTGCGTAGCATTTCTTTGCCCTGGCTTCATGCTATATTCAAAAGTAGATTTGATTTAAATAAAGCTAACTTTTGCAGCTTGACAATTCTGCTCGTTAATAGAAGAACAATTGTTCTATGCGTGTGATAATGGAAGACTCAGGCACGATCCCACAGCAATGGATGCCTCTTACGGTGCCTCAGGCAATGACTCCATTCCTGCTAGAAGCCCTATCCATGGGAGTCGCTGGTATCCAGCAAATACCAGCCATTTCGCATTGCTAGGATTTGTTGGGGCTGCCGTACTAAATACTAGCCCTGAAATTGGCCACTCTTGAACCCAATCTTATATAGTAAAGTAACATTTGTTCCAATTTAACTGATGAAGTGCAGGAAGGACCATGGTGCGCTTAACGCTCAGAGATCCATCCCTTTACCATTCATTCAAGAATCCCAATCCAAGGGCAACGTCTTTGTGAGATGCATAGGAAATCACCTATAAGAACGATCCTCTCTCTATGCCTGCGTATGCCCCTATAACGTTCAAAGTTCAAGTCAAGTAACCCACAGTAATCATTAGAGCAAAATAACCTTCGGTAATAACAAAAGCGTAACGGACATCGAATGCCAAGGATGATATCTTAAAGCCATAACTGCTTGTTTGTTTTCATAAAAAGAACGCAAGTCGGGTACTACTTTTCAACATTTCTGATGCTTAACCATCCAGTCCGGGACACTGCTCACTCGTGGTCTCCGTGATCTTCGTGTATGGCGAAGGATCAGTCCAAATTAAGTCGAACCTATCATCAGAAATCAGTAGAGGATCACTAGTTATCCTGCACGCTGAAATAATTTGACTTATGGTGCTCGCTGTAAGCAAAGGATAAGGAAAGGGCTTCAGCACCTGTCACTTGGATACTCCGGCGCATCATCGGCTCCGAGCTTCTTCACAATATCCGTCAGCGCCTCATGCTGCCAGCAGATCAAGATATTTCCATCCCCTTTGTATTTTTCGATGGCCTTCTTCACACATTTGGGGTCGTCGCGGTCGCAAGAAGTATCCACAGTAAGACCCAAATCCTCGGCCAAGGGAAGAACCGTCTCATAAGGACGGACCCGCTTGCCGCCTGCAGCAGTCATTGTTAGCGATTTAGACCTGCCATGAAAGACTGGCTGTCGCTTGTTGTTCGAACATACTCTTCTTGGGTGTTTGTGCCATTATATACCCAATATTGTATTTAGAATCCTTGCCAAAGACGGATCGGAGACATTGAGCGCGTTGGACCCCCTGAGCGCTGAGACCGTTGCCGCCATCATCTGGCTTCTCTCCATGTCGGATAAGGTACACGGTAGGTGACGCCATGACGGTAGCAGCAGCTGCTAGAAGATAGTAGGGCAGAAGCATCTTGAGCACTGACGATGTAATAGTTCGGGCCACTCCCAGATCCCTATTCCTTGACACACACTGGCTAGCTAGCCTTGTATTTATAACGAACCGAGGACACTGATCTATCGCTCCCGGCGGCAACACAATGGTGCTTACTCGCATTAGGGCTGACAAGAGGTTGCTAAGTGGTTCCTAGCCAGCTTCGTAGCTTCGGTTATATGCGTTTCAGATCCCCACATCGGGGCACTTGGGGTGTGTGACACTGTGATTGGCCCACCCAGCAGAGACTCCAGGGGGCACGTGGTGAAATGAAGAAGTAATGGTGGTTGAAATTCTCCTGCCCCATACCATCGGACTCTTCTTTGGCCCCGCGACGGGACGGAGAAGCAAGCGAAGCCGAGCCGTTTTTAAGTAGCAGCTTGTCCGTCAGCTCGAGCTGAGGTCACATGCTGACGGGTCGTTTCCAGGGAACTTGAATGGAGCCAATATCACATACAGCGCATTGGAGATCTGATGGTATTCACTGAAAACGCGGTGGTTGGTTGTGTATTTTTCCTTGAATTCCCGGTCGGATCTTTTACAACGAGAGGAGTATACCTCGTAGTAGGAGTAATAGTACTTGATGTGACAGTCTCTGACTAGTACAGAATATCATCTCCTCAATATCATTTCACAGGAGGCTAAACCTAACTAAGCCTAACTAAGCCTTTCCGCCTTCTATTCTAAGTTAGTCTCAATTCTTCCCGAAGTGGAAAAGCTACGGGAGCTTCAACCGAGAAGGGCTTCACATTCATTCTAGACAAGAACTCCGCCAGAATCGCGCCGATAAGCCGCCCCGTCTTAACCTTCGACCGGTCAACCAACCCACTCCTCCCACCTCCAGGTCACTACGGACAATGTCATCGGTAGAGAAAAAGCGGCTACGCGATCGACGCGCACAGCAGAACCTTCGCAGCAAACGCTCTCAGCATATGGCCGTGCTCGAGAAAGAAGTTGCTCATTGTCGGGAACACCATGACGATCAAGGCATACAGCGCCTCCTGCAAGTAATTACCGATCTCCGGAAGCAAAACGAAGTCCTTCGATCACGTCAGGAACACTTGAAATGCCTCGTCAATTCCTGGGATGCAAGTCCTGCTGAAGTTCCGGCCAATGCGCATGAACCTTCCGACCAACGCTTACCAGGATTAATCGCAATCCCCGGAGGGCCCATGAACAACACTGATCCTAGTTCGAATCGGATCCAATCGAGCAGAACTAATACCCCACGCGATGATTCAAGTCCATCCTCACTTCTGATCAGTAACTCAAGCTATGGGCAAACCTCTTTCACACAGACACTCCCCAGAGAGCCCCCAGAGGTGGACACCAGTCTCGCCTGGGAACAACTCCCTCGGCACGACGACGACTTCTTGAACCCGCAAACCATTTCCTGTCCTTGGTTTGAATGCCCGGAGCGAATAGCCCTATGTCCCGAATCCCCTTCCTCTCCACTAGACCTACTGTACGGCACAAAGACAAACTATCTCGCGGACATGATTTACAAAGCCACACAGAGACGCCCGATCCGTGACCCCGAACGCCTAGCCGTCGGGTGGCTATGCTATCATCTGACACGATGGATCGTATCGCCCAGTCCGGCCACCTACGCAAACATCCCACCCTTTCTGCGCCCCGTCCCCGACCAGCTCCAGATTACACATCCCATGGTGCTCGACAATATACCCTGGCCGCAAATCCGAATGAATTTGGTTCGACACTGGGATCTGTTCCGCGATATGCGCGACGACCTTTTTGGATTGTTCTCGTGTTGTGTCAAGGTTCGGTGGCCCTGGGGTGAGAGCATCCTCGAGCGAAACTCGAACAACGAGCTGTGTATAAAGGAGAAATTTTTCGAAACATTTATGAGTGAGGCGGGATGGGGCCTTACGCCTGAGTTTATGCAAAGATATCCTCAACTTCTTGCAGGAGTTGATCTCGGGGCTATCACTTATGAACTCGTGGACAAAGAATTCTATCAGGGTGAAAAATGATTTGGTTCTCTAATTACTTTTGAAAGAAAACTGGTCGCAAGTATATACAGGCCTATGCTTATTATGTATCCACCGGCGTTGGGACTCTATGTGTATGCGTGGGCTGGCGGCTGTGTGATGCTCCTGAGAAAACAAACCAACATCAAGCATTCCCCTTGTCGAAATTTACGGGGTATTTCTCTCTAATGAGTTTGCCCCATTTGGTAAACACGACAGGGATCGGAACGAAGGCCAACGCCAAAAACCCGAGGAGGGAATTCCCCCAGCCAAGGCCGAGCGCTTCGAACATCGACGGACCGGCCAAAGGAAGCAATGCGCCCACGAGGGATCGAGTCGCCGTTAAAGTTGCGTTCGCTGATGCGGCGTAAGCAGGATATGAATCGATGATGTACGTCTGGATGGGAAGATAAACACCCATCATACCGATCCCAAACGGCGCCATTCCAATAATGGGTACAATCCAGTGGACATGCTTGTCGGCCGTCCAGCCATACCAGAAGAAGCTGATAGGCAGGATACACGAGAAGATGATCATCAAGGGGAGTCGCATCTCCGGTTCAGTCTTCCCTCCGTTCCGAGCTGCGAGTTTCACCATGATCCGGTCGTTCGTGCCCGCCACAAAGACAAGACCCAGCATAAAACCGACCCCGATACCCAAATAGGCCAACCCAGACAGGCCGGTTGAGAAGCCGTACTGTCCCGTGAAGACGCTCGAAATGGTGGTGAAGAAAAGATAGAGAAGGCCATAGACGAGGGACATATACGTCGACAGCAGCAACACAATTGGTGACTTGACTAACAGCAACATAGGCCGCACGAGACTTTGTTTCAGCAGCTCGCCCGAGGAGACTTGCCCTCTCTTAAGCTCGTATGCACTGCGCAGGTCTGTTCGCTCCAGCTCCTTGGACAGCTTAGCGGTTTTCCAGCGGATGATGACAGGGGCGTACGTCTCGCGATTGAGGATCTCAATTCCCAATGACATGGCCCCGCCTACAATTAACAGCACCCAAAACACCCACCGCCAGCCGACTTCTTCACCGAGAAAGCCTCCGGCGATGGGACCAGCGACTGGACCGATCAGAGGTCCCACCCCCCAAATAGAGGTTGCCTTTCCACGTTGCTGGGGCTCAAAGAGATCCGCGATCACCCCCGCACCCAACGTAAGGCATGCTGATCCTCCTATCCCTGCGAAGAGTCGAAACACGATTAAAGATGCAATATTCGGGGCGAGCGCACATCCGATTTGCCAGACGACGAAGAACCAGTTCGATACGCTGAGTACGATCCGTCGTCCGTAGATCTCACTTAGCGGGGCTAGGATTAGGGGACCGAACTGTGAGGCATCATATCTCGTCAGCCACAAACTCTCTTGATCTTGCAATCAGACACGCAAACAGAAGAACCATACCACATAGCCCAGAAGGTAGATGCTGACAGTAAAGGAAATGATCGTTTCGTCGGTTTCGTTGAAGTCGGCAGCCATATAGCTGACGGCCGGAGAGAACATGCTCGATGCCAGCGGACTAACGAAGGTAAAGGCGCTGATGAGTGCTAGTAAAGCCCATTTTTTGCCGGGGGCGAAATTTAATGGATTCGCAGGGTCGTCTTGTCCTTCCCATCCCACAATTCCGCGGTCGAGGTCCGTTTCGGGGTAGAGATGGGATGTTTCTGCCGTCTGTGTCTTGCCCTGCTCCAGGTCTGGCTGTTCACATCCGGAGTCCTTCTCCGTCATCGTTGTGGCGCTTGTGTTTGATTCCTTATAGTCGGTGGATTCCATGGTAGAGACGAGGTATCTTAATTCGATCGAGCCATGCACGTAGTCAGGGATGAGGTGTAAGCAAAGTAATGAATAGTTAGACAGGCCGTGCTATGAGAGATTAGTAGACATAGAAAATGGAAAGAAACGAGTGACTGGTTTTTAAAGGAGCAGAGAAGGCCAAAAAAAAATAGAAAAAAAGAAGAAAGTATCTGGGCTGTCAGCATCGGTTCGGAACCCAGGAGCCGATATGATATCTGAAAAACATCTTAAACTTATTTCCAGTCAGTGGATCTCTACTTGTGCTTATACCATCCAAGCCTTCATAACTCCTCGTGTGAACCAAGGCTTGATATCGGATCAAAGCCGCGACCGTCCCTTATATCCAGCGAGTCTTGACCAATATTTGTATCCACTGAGCCACCCGTTGAGTCTCTCAACGAGTCGTCTGTCTATCACGAAAGTTCAATAGGTTTGTAGTCTATTTGTTTGATTAAAGGTATAAATTCGGTGCATTCCAGCTAAAGGTTCCGAAGGAGATTACCCAAGGACAGCCCCGATCTGCATATCCTGCATAAGGTAACAAACAGGTAGAGAGAAATTGATGCACACGACGTGACTAGCGTACACAGTAACACAATGCGTTCCCCTATAGAAAACCCCACAACCACGTTGACTTACCCCGAATCCGTGGCAAAATAAGTAGAAAAGGAGCTTCATTTGCTATTTTGTGACGACTAGCACTGACTCAGTGTCCCCACTATATGCCAAGGATGCCCAGTCATGACCGACTATCATGTAGCGCTGAATCATTGCCGTTGGAAGATGGACCCATCGCGATAACCCTATCGTCACAGCTGGTTCATAATGCCATTCAATCACGCACAAGAACCGATACATATCAATTTATGCAGAATCGAATGACCATCCTAAAGTTGTATCCGTGCATGGGATGTACTCCGATGGACCGATATACATGATTGCCGTAGCACCCCCCATCGGCAGCTCGACCGCATGGAAACCCGTCGGTCTTTTTCCGCTGGGAGAACGAGATGCCTGCCGATCCTTTCTATGTTCAGTACATGTAGATTGTCCACTTGATTGAAATCGCCAAATGGTCGCGCGTTGCTTTTGTCTTATAAGATACGACGTATCCATCTTACAACGTATACCTCATAAAGTGCTTCCAGTTCTTCGAATGCAAGAAGAATATGAGCAAGGGGAAGAGATAAGAAATTATAGAGCGCATTAATTGGCGACCATCATCACGTCGTCATGATTCGATACCCGGTCTTGGGTATCGGAGGGCACTCGAGAGAAGATTCATAGGGCATGACAACTGAACATAGTTAGTTTGCACGTGCTTCCCGGTTGATCTGATTTACAGAACGAGCGTTCGACAGTCAGCCTGGAGTACATCGGCTCTACATCCATCTAGGGATAGTGACTTGATTAACTGGCCAACGATAATACTGGGATGCCGATGCTATGGCCCGATACCTACACTAGTACGTTCTGCCGTTGCACCTAGGTAAGGGATCAACAGAGCCCTTCTCAAGGATTGTATTTAATTAAATCGTTCCGATTCATTAACTAACAATATATTTATAATCAGGACCATTGGTCAAGCCTCCTACAAGCTGTACATCATTATTAATATCACATGGACAGAGAAAGTCATGAACGCCGCATAATGCTATAGAAAGAGAAGCCAATGCCCTCGCTCTCCTGCTGAAGAATCCGTGCGTCATTTCTGGGCAAATCTCAACTCATTCTTTCCAAAATCATGCACGGCGATAACATTCTTATAGAAGGGCGCTCCCAAGACGTATACCACGATGTATTTCATCCCCACCTTCTCTGCTGGCAATAAACCCGAGACACAGACCCCCTCTCCAACATCATAGATCAGATCTTCCGCGGCATGGTAAAAGGTCTGGTTCCCGATCGTCACACCGAACTCCGGCGCCTTCGCGTCACAATCGACCACATAAGCCTTCAACTGGTCGTTCCAGACGGCTGGGGGGGAGAATTGTTTGTTCACTGGGTCCACGACTGCCTCAGGAAGGATAGAGAAGTCATTTCCGGTGTCCACGAACACTTGCCAGGGGTTAGTGTCAGTCTTGAGAGCAGCTTCCTCTTCTCCCGACGACCCGTATTTCACGCCGGAGACGTTAAAAGCCCAATAGGCCCTCTGTTGCTTTCCCGATGTGAATTCAGCCGGAATGTTCTTCAGGACTTCCACTGGAACGGTGCTGAAGTCCGACTTAGGCTCCACCGGCGGCAGGTCACCCAGGGTGAGGTAGCCTCCAAATGTGGCGATGCTATCCCGCGAGGTATGCGCCAGCGCAATACTGAAGTACGGCTCCACCAGGCCATGTTCAAACATAGCGTTGAACACCGGGCTATACACCGCCCGGTTGTAGAAGTACGTGTCGTTGGGGACGGATGTGCCCGGATGAGCCGATGTCAAGCTGGGATAGCCAAGGCCTAAGACCCCGTTGCTGATCCCTTCCCGACCCATCGGCTCAGAAACGTCTGCGATTGCCAGTTTGGAGCGCACGGAGACTCCTGCAATCGTAATGTCTTCGTAGGCCATGACGCCGCTTGCCAGGCCGGCTCCATACTCAATTCCAAACGTTTCGTTGGGAACCTGTTGGTAGCTCGACGAGGGGGTGTACGTCTCTGGGCCGTATTTACAGTCCGCCTGGGGGATAGTCAGGTTGCTGGTGGCATTGATGCAGGTAAAGCCGTCTCCCATGATATAGAGATCACTGCTTCCTGTGTCCACCAGGAGCTTGAAGGTTTGGTTGTTGGCGCCGACAACAACGTCGACATCGAAATTGTGCCCGCCCCCGGTTGCGAGGAGGGAGGCAGTGTGGGCTAAGGCGTCATTAGAATGTTTGCGACGATTTAAGGGGATAGTAAGAGCTGAGCTAAGAGTCAGGAAATGGAGCACTGATGATAGCTGAAGGAGCTTCATCTTGATGGTAGGAGTAAAGATGAGAACGATGATTGTCTGTAGGATCGTCGACTGGGCGGTCCCTAGTTGGAATTTATAAACCTGGGCAGGTAGGCAACAGATTGATTGAGCTCGGTGGACCAGGCCCAGCACCTAACTCGAGTCGATCTTCTTTGTTCACGTCCAATGGCGCTATCTTTGACGTTGTCCACACAGGGCTGATCCACAGTAGGGCTGGCTCAGCTGGCGCCAAGTTTCAGGGTATTCCTAGTAATTTCCTACCGGTTTGTTTCCAGCTGCCTGTCTAACAAAGAAAAAGTCCAAAGTCGGGGAGTGCTCGAGAATTAAAGACCAGGATTATCTGCCGCATCAAATGGTATGATGCAAAGTTTAAGTGATCCCAACCTCCCCTGCGAGGGGTTACAGCCAATCGTGCCGTTGATCCCGTTGGATTTAAATTGCGTCGAGGTGGCAGGAGGCATAACCGCGACATCGGCCCAATATCTCCTCCGATGGATAATTCATTTTGCTTTGCTCTGCAGCCGTAGCGATCGCTATCGTGTCGTCGTCTGTATACGAAGTATGAGGCTCTCTTCGAGGACTCCTGGCAACCACCCGTGCTGAGTGCTCAGGTCTCACGGTCGGGACTGGTCGATCCCTGTTCATTAAGACTTAAACCCCGCTGAATCCCAGTGGGGCACTCCGAGCACTATCTCCCTAGACAACGCAGAGATCCAACGCGAGGGATTTTAGTTCCTCTGTTAGGGCTATCAAGTTTTGAACGACACGACCAATGACGGAAGGATCCGAATGTTGGTGCTGTCACGTGGCCTCAGGCTACCTCTTTTGGACGCGAGTCAGTGGATAAATTGTCAATTTTTCGATCAGTCTAGTCTAATCAACTACTACTTGTCCAGGTAGTATGTACAGAAGTGCCCAATTGCTCCTCGCCGCAGCCTCCACAGCGATGCTCCGTTGGTTCCGGGAGTGAAAAAGAAAAACAAAAATCGCTCAAATTACAAGGATAGGACACTACCACGAAATGAACATGGTTCCAAGAAATGGGGGAGAAAGAAAGAAACAAAGAAAAACATATTAAGGCTTAGAATGAAACCCCAATTGTTGGCTCGGCGGACTCCGTTGACTCCTTTGACTGCATTCGTGCCGTGGGATCCAACAAGACCGCATTTTGCTGGTCTGGTCGATAGGGAGCTTCGGTCTTAGCCACGAACATGGTATTCGTGGCCAGCCCATGGTGGAAGAAGCGGAATGCCTTCCGATATCTGGTCAGACGGCGCGTCCGATATGCGTGATATTCACCATCCTCGAGCATAGCGTAGAGATACCGGGGGTGCACCACGATAGCCTGCGCGCCCTTCTGCCCAAAGCCGAAGGATGTGACCGAGAAGGCCTTCAATCCCTTGGTTTGGATGCTGCGGTTGGGGTAGAGAATGTATTCATTATTTTCCAGCTTCCCATCGACGTTGTCCAGGTTGCGGTTGCCGGGAATGAGGCCTGTGTCCAGCACTTGTAGGCCACCATTCAACATCCATGCTCCTGCGGCACCCTTGGGATGCCCCGTAAGATACTTCTGCGAGATAGCGTAGAGAGGGTTTCCGGGTACACGGCCGAGGTGCCGCATTTGAGCTTCGAGCACTGAGGCTTCGTTCTTGTCGTTCATGACAGTGCTAGTGCCATGTAGGGAAACGAAATCCAGATCATCTAGTAGGTGGTCAGTTCCATAATATCTAGACATTTAATGCAGAAAGAGAGGCATGACGAACCGATAGTCAGACCAAAAACGGCCAAAGAACCCCGAACAGGAGAAATAGCGGACTCATTCTTCCAGAACTCATTACCAAATGTGTTCAAGGCTTCCTTGCGCTGGCGCTCGGCTTCGCCTTCGACGAAGCGCTTATGGTTCTGGAGCTCTTCCTGGAGCTCCTCTGGAACCTCTCCATCTTGAGTCATTTGCTCCTCAAGCATCTGTACCTCAAGGTCAACCGATTCTTTGATTTGCTTCAACCGTGCCTCGAGACGGCGCTTGCGGTAACGAATATCTAGCAGTGGCGATGGGAATCGACTGTTGGGCTTCTCGCGAGCGTTTGTCAGGATGCCCTGTCCCGGTGCAGGCACCGACCGGCTCGTCTTGTCACTCGCAGTTCCCACCCAGGCGACAATACCATGGATCGGAAGGCCCAGGTCGAGGGCCAGACGGGCTGAAGTGATAACCTGAACACCACTGCCCTGAGACTCGACAAAGCCGCTTCGGCTCTCTGCAGCGGGCCGCGACATCTCCTGAGGGAGCCTTCCCTTCTTGGCCTCTTCCTCGGGGTTGGTAGTGGCTTTCATGTTGGCAAACTCCTCCGCTACCGCCTGTGTCATGTCATCGTATCCACCGACAAGACAGATTTTAGCACGCCCAGTGACGATGGTCTCAAATCCAGTTTCCAGAGACTCAATCGAAGTGGCACAAGCACCAACTGACGTGCGGATGGGGCCAGCGGAAGAGATCAGCAGCATGTTGACCCAGGCGGCGGTGGTATTAATAAAGGTTTCCTGAAGAATGTCCTTCTGCACATCCTTATCCAGGTACCGATCCCGGAACATCTTCTTCAACGAGTGCACACCACCAAGACCTGAGCCAATGCAGTTGCCGAACTCGGAGAGATGGATGTACTGGTATAGCTCGTAGGGGTCGGTGATTCCCGAGGCCACAAGCGCCTCCATGGTGCTGACCAAGGTAAACAGGGTTCCACGGTCAACCTGGGCGACAATGTCTTCCGGTATGCCGTAGGCGCGTGCATCCCAGCCAGTAGGGACCTGTCCCGCAACCGCATGCTGGTACTGCAAAGCCTTGGGGATCATCAACACCACGCCCTTCTTCAGGTTGACGACACACTGTTCACCCTGCGGCGAGATATCAACCAGATTCTCCCCATGCTCGTTGATGAGCTGTTCTGCCACCTCGGGAGAGACTTCAAAGGGCGGTAGATCTTCCTCGAGCACGACCTCTTGCAGGAGTCTTCTCTTGCCGGGTGGTTCGCTAGGATCCAGGTCGGGCTCTACCAGCCGGATTCCGGTATGATTGAGGATATGCTCTTCATACCGAGCTTTGACGTCCATGTCCTGCACGGGCTTCTTTGTCTTGGCATCCACCCAGCCGGTGAAGTGTTTCCCGTCCAGCGGGCCGTCATGGTGCTTGATGAGGCCCATAATCCATGCCATCTCAATACACCCTTCCAAGGACAAACGCCCAGTAGCCTCCATCTGCCAGCGAGTCCGAGAGTTACCGTACGGGCCAACCTCTGAAAATCCGGTGACCACCACGATACGCTCCAAGTCTGCCATGCCCATCAATGTTGCTCGCAGGGGGTCGACTTCGGTCTTCGCATCGGGCAGCGCGGGGAATGAGAAACGAATATTTGCCAAACGCGTTCGTGCTCCCTTCTCCTGTGTCGTTGGAGAACTGCACGTAGTGAGCTTCTGCTCAGCAGCTTGCTCCCGTGCGAGGACGGTGCGCATAGCACTCTTATCGACGATCTCGCGCCGAACCTTGTCCAAAGTGGCCCTCAGATTCGGAATCGTGTTCAGGCCGCCGGTCAGATCGGCATACAGTGGCTGTACGTTGCACTGATTGGCAAGCTTCCGAGTCATAAGCACCAAGATGTACGCTCCCATCTCGGCCGTAGAGAAGGTCTGCACGCCATGACGCTCAATCCCTGCCGCGACGATGTTGTTATCGGCCATCAGACCGGTACCACGCGTCCAACCAATGACCGCACCGCAGATCGACAGATATGTCGACCAGCTCTCCGAGTGCCATTTCTCAAACAAGGACTCGAGGGCAATCTTCGACTCGCCGTACAGACCATCATTGCCAAACGCACCGTGGTTAGGCGAGAGGGGCAGAATGACTTGGGTCGGCCGGGTACGGTATCCCCGAAGCTGTTTCTGTTTCTTGATGGCTCCCAGCAAACGGAGGGTGTTGGTGAGCATGATTCGGTGAGCCAATTCAGATTTGGCATCAATGTTATCAATCTCGCGTCCAGCCTCGGAGATCGCAGCGAAGGGAACAACGTGGTCCAGATCCCATCCCAGGCCAGTACCCGAGGTGTAGATGTACTCTACAAGACCGTCAAGATCATGCTGGCTTCCTTGGTTAAATGGGGCGACGATCAGTTCGGATCCCCGCGAACCATGTTCAACATAGAGACGCTGGTAGAACCGAGTCGTGGCGGAGGAGTAACTGCTGGTGGTGACGACCACCTTGGCTCCACCACTCAGGAGGCCTTTCAGGATTTCGGCTCCAATCGATCCAATGCTCACTCCGGTCATGAGCACACACTTGTTGATGAACGTGATGCCGTCATTCCAGGATGATTGCACCTCGTCCAGGTACAGCGCCGTCACCGAGCGGTCAGTCAGCCAGGTCGAGTGTCGCTGGGTTTTGATATGAATCGATGCGATGACGGGGGATCCACCGCGAGGGACCTCGCGGTACTTGATATGACCGTTCTCGTCCACCGTAGTGCTGGGCCCCTTGATGAAAGCGTCGTAGTTCGCGGCCAACGGTTCAAATCGAGGAGCGCGGGGCTTCTCGCAAAGGTCCACCAGACGACGCATCACGGTCTTGGCTTCTGGGAAGCGAGTGCCCCAGAGAGAGCACGGGCTGTTCGACAGATACTTGATCATTTGCAGTAAGCGAGGGCTGGATCGGTTGGCGATGGCGTTGCTGTATTTAGGGAAGTCGGCATTGCCAAAGTTCCCTCGCAGAATCCGGTGGAAGAGATGCAAGGTATCTTGCAACACCCAGTTCCAGCTGGAGTTGTATCGTCGAACCTTGGCAGCTGCCCATAACGGACGAATACCCGAGATAAAGACATCGCCCACCTCGGCGGTGATGAAGTCCAGCTGCTCCTGCAGCTTGACGGTCGCCAGTTGTGCCTTGAGCGCTTCACGCGCATCGTGGCCCAGATCCTTTCCAAGCAGTCGTGCATAGAGCTCCATTTGCGCCTTCCGGAGCCGTTCCTGATCTTTCTTCACAAGGCCGAGAGCCTTGCTGTCCACTGGAGCCGACACTGCTGCAGCCTCCGCGGCCGGCGCGGATGCAGACAGGTTGAGCCCGTTGTCTGTGGCATACTGCTGCACTATTTGGTCAAAGAACGTCTGTGCTTCCCCCGAGCTTGCCAATCGAGAGGATGTCTGTGCTGTGCTTGCTCGCAAGAAAATCGAATCCTGGCGTCCAGCCCCTAGACCCCATCGAGACTGTAGATACTCACGGGCATCACCGCTGGAGAAGCCAGCGGGAAGTTTCTGTGCAAAGACACGGGAGACGATCCCTGTGGATACCTTCCCCAGCTGTCCTGAGAAGGCTGCGCCGGATTGTAAAGTATTGCATAGTTCCTCTAACCCTAGCTCTTCCGCCCTCTCGGGAAGGGAGCCGAACTCAGCGTCGAGGTCACCCACAATCTCATTTTCCAAGGTCGATCGGCCTATACTCGCGGCATCAGCAGCTGTAGTGAGTACAATGGACGGATAGGAGGGAGGACTATACCGCTCACTAATAGCTTGATTGTTTTATCTGTTGCTACTTCGGCGTGACTCTTTCTCAGCTTTTGTGCAATGATGGCGATCACAATATCCTTTGCCTGCACAGGAGCATCCGCAACCATCGCTACCTTGGCGACAGGGGCCGGCGCAGTATTGACCTGAGGTTCAGCAGGGGGTGGCGGTGTACTTTCCGCAGCTTTACTGGAGGCCGACGGCCCCTGTGACAATAATGGGTGAGGCTTCACAGCTGGTCGGCTGGTTGCTGTTGATGACCCCGAGATATACTGTATTTCGTCTGCATTCTGGGCGTAAGAGAGTAGCTTTCGTGTCATGTGTCGTGCAGCATCTTGGGATTTGTACTGTTGACCGACGGTCTTTCGGAGCATGCCGGTGAGGATGTCTGCCGGGCCGATTTCGATGAACCGTTCGACATTCTGTTCTGTGATGAGTCCATCTTGGGTTTCAATCCTGGGTTAGGGAGTGTGATTAGTCTAGCCTTCTTTAATGGTACATGGACGGTGGGCTTACCATTGGACTGGCGACGCAAACTGATGCCTACAAGTGATGATTTCCTTGGTCAGATATTGCTATGGTAGACATAAGTAAGAAGCAACACTCACGCCAACAGCTCAATCAAGAGCACATATGCAAGCTGCTGCTCAACTTCCGGCTGCATTATGGCAGACATGGCGATGTTGCTTGGGTATCAATATCATTTACAGTCGGGTGACTTTGGTCGACCGACACCTGTACTTAAAAGAGACTCGACTACCAGGGTTTATCGCTATTACGTGTGCATGGCTCCCCTTTCCAAGCTCATACTACCCGGGATTCAGTATAGTTCGTGTCAGCAACAACCGAGAGCTTACTACACACGTGGCGGAGTGTTTCGGGGCTGAGGCGAAACGTGAGAACGGAAAAATCACCATCACATCTCACTCATGCAGTAGCAGCAGCAGCAGCAGCGATCAATTGAATAAAGTTGAGTGATCCAGCTCCAAGGCAAACCGCGCTAGTGGCTCACACTGCATGCTTACATCGATGATGGAATAGCGTTAGGGCTTACGCTGACTGACAACTGGTGGTGTCGGCCCCCAAGTCGCAGGATCCGCCCGACAATCTGAAACCCCCAGGTTTTGATCATCAGGAACCGTGATCTAAATTTATCTCGGTCATAGTCAGATGGCAGCTCTTGGACCCAGAATCATACAATGTAGATGACATTGCGCGATGCGTTCACCTCACCACCGAGGTTGTGAGGCATCTCCTGCCTTGTGCTTCTGCTATCGCCATGTCTTTTCGCCGGACTTATTTGGCTTGGATTGCCGTCATGACCATTGACGTCCAAGTCCGTGAACCATCAATCATTCCGTCATCCACTTAGTATCGAATCGATCAATTATCATCATGCAGGCAGTTGCGCTGCTGAGACATGTGCCTCTCTTTGCCTATGTGACGGCTGTGCCCGTTGCATGTCTGGCCTACGTGAGCCCTTGCTTCTGGCCCTAACGAGGATGAAATCCTCACTGACGAGTCTGTCAGGTACTCGCTATCTGCATCTACCGTATCTGGTTCCATCCCCTTGCGAAGTACCCGGGTCCTTTGCTGGCCAAAGTGACCAACCTCTATGGAGGGTACTATGCCTGGAAAGGAGACCTGCATCTTGATATGATGCGCTGCCACGAAAAATATGGTGAGCTTCTTATACTGCCCATCTGTTCTACTCCGTCTCGGCACTTACTGACGGGTGATGCGACAGGCAATTATGTTCGATATGCACCAAATCGTGTGCTGTTCAATACCAACACCGGCCTGAAGGGTTTGTCTCTTTTCGAACTCCGGATCACTGAAAGAAATCACTAACCGGGTCAACGAACCTCCCAGAGATCTATGCGTACAGCAAAAGCTTCCAGAAGTCGGCCGCCTACGGTGCCATGGTTCATCGTGCTCCCAACACACTCACTCTCATTGACAAAAAGCAACACGGTCGCAAGCGACGCATCATCGGACAGGGCTTTGGAGATGCCGCCCTGCGTGGCTTCGAAGGGACTATCATGAGTCTTGTACGCAAGTTCTGCGACGAGCTGGCCAAGGATATCTCGGGCGGAAAAGTTGGTGAATGGTCTAGTCCGCAGAATATGGGAAAATGGTGTAAGTATCGTCCTTCCCACTCCTTGAGCTAAGATATTGACGTTCTGCCCAGCAAACTATCTCACCTTTGACATCATGTCCGGCATCATCTTCGGTGAAAGTTTTGATCTTATTGGCAGTCCCAAAAACCGGGAGATTGTCAAGTGCATTGAGGACTCTAACGTGCGTACTGGAGTCCTATCCCAAGCTGGTGAATTATCCACACGCCGTCTCGACCGCTGGCTCTTCCCTCAAGCAATTCAAGGCCGAAATGCGTTCATTCGCTTCGTCAACATTCTTCTCAAGAAGCGCATGTCCGCGAAGCCCCTGAAACGCCATGATGCATTTTCATTTTTGCTGGATGCGGTCGATCCCGAGACGCAGCAGGGATTTACACCTGCAGAGATTGGTGCTGAAAGTACCACCATGATTGTTGCCGGTAAGACCATCTTTATCCCTCCTATCTCCGTTTCTTGTTATTTCTTCGACTAACACCACCAAGGATCCGACACATCCTCCACCGCTATCGCTTCGACCTTCTTCTACCTCTGTCGCAACCGGGAATGGTACGAAAAAGCCAAGGAAGAAGTTCGCGCTGCGTTCCCGGGCCCCGACGACGTCGCCCTCGGACCCGCCCTGAACAACTGCGTGATCTTGCGCGCATGCATCGACGAGAGTCTGCGGATGTCTCCACCCGCCAGTAGCTCTCTTTGGCGCGAAGTCCTTGACGACGGAGTCACCATTGACGGACAGGTTGTCCCGCGAGGCTACGACGTGGGCACCTGTATTTACGCCATCCAGCACAACCCGGACTATTACCCAGAACCCTTTGAATACCACCCCGAGCGCTGGCTCGACCCCGTGCCGGAAAAGGTACAGCTTGCACGGTCGGCTTTCAATCCGTTCTCCATTGGACCGCGGAGCTGTCTGGGGAAGGGATTAGCCTGGACCGAGCTGATGTTGACTATGGCTTATATGCTCTCAAAGTATGAGTTCCGCAGTGCACCGGGTGAGTATGAGAAGGTTGGGGGTGGAAATGAGGCCATGGGACCTGGAAGACAGCGCAAGGGTGAATATCAGTTGCGCGATCATGTCACGGCCGCAAAGGACGGCCCCATCGTGCAGGTTTCTTTCCGGTAGGGTGGATTCTTGTTTTTCGGTTGAGAAGTAAATTGGAGAATGATATGACGTGCGTATGTATTTTTAAATAGTCTCTCGAGTGACCTCGAGGGTTTTCTTCTGAGAATGAAATTGGTTCGTTTGCGTTTTGAATCTAGATTACTTCAGTAAATATCTGTCTTCCATGAGTTCTGTAAATTAAGAAAATAAATAAATAGAACACCAATTAAAATTAAAAGAAATGAAAGTAAATAAAACAGAAATAGAAAGGACGAAGAGATATTTTATCTCAGGTTTTCTTACAAATTATAATTAGAATTAATTTATTTCTACCCCGTATCAGACGGAAAAAGGCGAGAGCAATTCAGCAACCAGCCCTAGGCCTGTGTGTATTTCCAACCGGCAGCATACGTCGCAGAGCCTATTTTTCACGATGAGTTTGAACGCTTCACCTTAGTAGTAGTTGGGAGCCATTTGGCGGCTTCCGCATAGTGACACTTACATTCTAAGCGTGCTCTCATTCTTGGATACGGCGATCTGCCAAATTGTAGTGAAAAAATTAGAATCGCTAGACATTCTTCATATACGAACTTATTTACATAATGATACAGAAAGAACCAGAAGAACCCACATCAGATGTCCCCTTAACCTCTTCACGCCATCCAAACTGGTCCTCAACTTCACCACGCTGGATCTTAGTGAGCGCGGCATATAACTGTTGACAGACAGGACCCGCAGTCGTCCCCTCGGTGTAGACGAAATGGTCGTCGCGCGACGTCCGGGTAATGGACCGAATAGGAACCAGGGCGGCAGCAGTGCCGACGGCCATCACCTCTTTGAAGGTCGCAAGTTCCTCGTATTTGACCTAAACAGACTGTTAGTTATGGATACGATCGGAAGAGAGCCAAGGGGGTTCGTACTGAGCGATGCTCGACAGTCCATCCCAAGGACTGAGCAATCTGCATACAACTATCGGACGTCACACTCCCAATGATATTATCACTCTTGGGCACCACCAACACAGGCTTATCTCCATCCATTTTCGCTCCTAGAAATCCAGAGGTAGAAAACTCATCAATTTCGGAATGAGTGGCACTGTCCAGATGCAGGGTCATAGGATATCCCTCCTTCTTGGCCTTCTCCGACCACTTCATCACGGGGGCATAATTGCCTCCAATCTTCGCGTGGCCGGTTCCCCGGGGTGCGGCACGATCGAAGTCTTCGAGAACGACCGCGGGCAGGGGCGAAATGCCATGATAGGTGCTGAATGGCTGCACATATACGCAGAAAGTATATTCGGTGGGAGGGGTCAGTGCAAAATGCGCCGCAGAGCCCAAGAGGACCGGGCGCACATACAAGGCGGCTCCGCTCGCGTGAGGAGGGACCCACTCGGCATTTCTCGCGACCGCAAGATTCACGCACTCAAGAAAATGGTCGGTGGGGACGGGAGGAATGGAGACCACATCGGCAGAGTGTTGCATGCGCGCCGCATGGAATTGTGGGCGAAAGAGAAGGATCTGGTCAGCGGCCGATCGGTAGGCTAATTATGACTCTATAATTAGATCCAGGGCAGAATCCGGTGTGGGGATAGATAGAACAAGCTCACCTTTCAATCCTTCATACACCTGTTGCCCATAGTTTAGGGCCGGGGCCAAACCGTGAATGCGAAGATACGGATCCTCCACGAATTTGGGCGTTGTCCACTTTCCGGTGGTAATGGAAAAGGTCGACTCGACATGGCCATTGACTATGACAGAATGTGAGCGTTTATTCTTGGTTTCTTCGTGCGGGTCCATTGCTTGGGGAGATCCTCTCTTACCCATATCCGTCACCGCGAGCCCTAACTTCGTCCAATCTATTCCGCAACCACGTTAGTACTCCATCCATCCTATGTACGATCGAGTGGGTACGGACCAATATTCGCTGCTGGTGCGGGTGGGAAAGTCATGATTGTGAATTGCTGATCTGGTCCGGGATACGAGTTTCGAAGTTTGTGTCCACTTTTCTTTTTCTTTTGTTTATTCTTTTCCCTTGCAGGATTCCAGGATCGATGGTATAACGGGTGATTATGACGGGTTCTGTGGATTACGAGGTTTATCTATGCATTGTCTATTCCTTATGGACTGATCACCCTCAGTGTTCTTGAATGATTCTCTCATCCTTCAGGTGGTGGCTTTGCCTTTTCTCATTGGAATGGCCCCCACCACATTCCGAGGGCATGAGGGCATGAGGGCATGAGGTTGCAGATGCACTGTAAGGGATGACGGGACCTGCAGACTCAGCTTTAGCGTGATAGCTTATTATTATTTTTGTAATAGCTTATTCTTTTGCACCGTTTCAGCCCTCTCGATCGGATGACCCTCGTCATAGATCTCACGGACCATGCGAGATCACCGTGTCTGTAACGGCCCCCAAGTAGGGCTGTGTGGTGTTCTCTTGTTACAGATGTCCATGCAATGATGATCCAGTGCCCCAGTTTGCCGGCAAGATGAGGATTGAGTACTCGGTGTTGCTGAGATGGTCGATCCCCCAAAGCAAAGAACCTGTAAGCTCACCATCAGCAAGCTCATACTCCATAGACATTAAAGAAACAGGAGGACAAGAGTGATGGACAAATCGAACCAGAACCATATTGCCAGAATTTTATTAGCCTGAGTACATCCGGTGGTGTAGCCATACTCTGGAGCTAGCAAAAGAACCCTGCCATCTCAAATCATGCGGAATAGCCCCGCGTGGTCCCTCTCCCAGAGTCCGTCTCCTGCACGAACTTCCACCGTCGGAATGATGATGAAAGGCCTGGATCCGGTGCTGGCACCTGGAGATCCCCTTGACCCCTGTCCCTGGCCCATCTCATATGCAGATAACGACATCTGGTCACAATATTCTGGCGGCCTATTCTCCTCCGATTCAGATGTCCTGCACCTCTCTCACGCAGATTGGCAAAATGCCGACTTGTCCGACAGCGGCAGTTGGTCTGCGACCAACTCCCTCGGCGATTTATCTATGACCTTGTCGGATGCTCCATTCGGTCAACCTCCTCTATGGACACCCAGCAGTGTAAGTCTCTGCCTCTCTCTCTCTCTCTCTCTCTCTTCCATCTTTCTTCTTCTTCCCTCTTGCTGTCCCAGACGTATGGCTTCTATCCTCAGACCGACATGAACTGACCTCCTGGATAGGATCCATGTCTCTTTCCCAGCATAATACCCTCCGGCGATCTCTCTAGCGAGAATGTATCAGACATCCACCACCAACCCCGTGATGGCATTCCCACGCCGCCTCCCTCGCAGCCTCAGTCGAATCCGAGAACTCCTCAAGAACCCAGTCACGGCACCGAGCGTGTGGTCTCCTTGCTGCTCCTGCAACGCGGAGTCAATGTGAACGTCCAGGACTCACGCGGTCAAACACCACTACACATTGCCGCTCAGTGCGGGCACCTGGGCGTGGTGCGCTTGCTACTTACAACCGAACAAATCGATGTCAATGCTCGCGACCACCATGGGTCGACACCACTGCATGTCGCAAGCGAAAAAGGGCATGTTGAAGTGGTGCAGTTGCTAGTGGCTCACGGGGCGCGCTTAGATGCCCGGTCGGGTCGCACCGGATAAACGGAAACCTGGTCGAATCCTGGTCTATATCTGCATCTACTGCATATCCCGGTGTTTTTTTTTTTTTTTTTTTTTTTTTCCCTTTTTTTTTTTTTTTTGGTGTTATGGGGTGGTATCGATAATTTCGGAGAAGCGATTTCCTATCAGTCGTTCCTTACCTTTTCCTTTGTCAGATTTTCTTTGTCATCTTTTCTTATTATTTTTTATTCGGTCTTTCCTCCTTATATATCCTGTGGCGTTGTTCTTCTTTTGCATGACTTGACGACTCTTCTGGAAGAGGGAAAAGTCGACTCGGGGAAAACCCGGTGTTTGTTTCGCGATACGCGTCTTGTCACGCGGTTTCCAGGCGTTGGTATTGTTTTTAACAGCGCAAGCATACCTATATCCAGTCCGATAGACATTTAAATTGTTTAATTCTCACTCTTTTCCTTTTTCTGTCTTGTTTTTTTTTATTTTATTTTTTTGTTCTTTTTTCCACCGTGATATAGATGCTGGTGTGGGCACCGTATGGCCTTTAGTACCGCGTAGCTTTACGCCGTATGTATGTACATACAGTGCGGCATGACGTGCACTGGATAGAGTCGAGGAAAAACTTTTTGAAGACAAAGTAAAATACACCAGAAAATGAGCAGTAAAAATGTCTGATAAGTGAAGTAATGTGCCCTACCTTCCGTCTACTCAGTATCCACCCTACAGAGTACATTGGTGTGGTAATTGAATTGGTGACGCGCCGCGTCGTAGAGGCTCCCATCCCTAGTATACAACTTTGCAACTCTTTGTATGAGCTTCTCTTTAATTCTCAATTTCTACCTGGTCATTTGCAGAGATGTATTCAGATTATCAGATTATCAGCTCTGGTTGTCCCTTTAATGCCTTGGGTTCTTGCGTCGTGATGACACTGACTTGGACAGTATTGTGATGTGCTAGTAGAGATATATATATATGCCAAGGGAGGCACAGCGTGAACTTTGGCTTCGGCGGTAAACAGCCTAATTCTTGAAAGCAATTGCCATTTGCTCCCATTTTCAATATTTTACCAAGACCGCCAAGTCCCTTTGCTCTCGCCTTAAAGGTCAAAACCGTCGTCTTTACAGAGTAAACAGCCTCCCTCTCTGCTCGTTCTGGGAAACATGTTGCAGTGAGATTATTGATTTCTATTGGTCAAAATATTCATACTCTATACCACTATAGGTTAGAGGCGGCCATAACCGAGGGCGGTGACACGTTTAACCAATTAAAGGACTATATAGAACAAGCATTTGCCTCAAGCGATTTAGCGGATCATCAGAAAACGCCAAGCGGGGTTTAACCTGGGGTTCAACCCTGTCAAGAGAGCTCATCACCCAGAACCATAGCGGTGAATTGATTGAAAGCGGTCAGCTATTATGCCAGGCAGTATCTGTATCATTGACGGACCTCCTGGCACAACCCACTGCCATAACATGGGACGACATAATGATTCGGACTATGCAAACTAGACACAGTTACTCTATACAAATGACAGGCCTTCTTTTAGCTGACTTGCCACAGACACCCCTAGCGAGAACCAACTATGATGGTTGTCGGAATTATACAGCGCCCACGGTCGCATGGTCCTCGTTCATTTACATCGATAACCTTATCCTAAATCCTAAACACGTGAACCTCTACGGATATGGCCTGAATCTGCTTCGACGGTTAGGTTAAAGGAAAGGATGTGTCAGGGAGGACAATCGTGTGGTTCTTGACAACGCGTATGATGCGCATTGCGACCCAGCGATCGGAAATGGGGGAAGATGGCATGGCTCAAACAAGTTCGGGGTGAAAAATGACGCTTCGCAGTGACTTTGGCAGACGGCCAGATGCTCGATCGCGTGGTTGACACCGGCGACGAGAGGGACGTTTTAGAGCTAGTATCACCGTCGGCAGGAAGTCCGTGCGAAAGGCGAATTCAATAGCATTCAACGCAGTTTCAAGGTCCACACATGACCCAGCGAGACGACGGAGGACCCATCGTAAATGATCGGCCTCTTGTCGTCTATATATAACCATTCTACTCCATAATACTGCATTGAATTATACTCGACTGGGGTCCCGCCCCTCCTTCGGCATTTAGCTACTTTTTAGATCACCTTACACCAACCATTGGCAGAAGTCCGACCTGTCTCAAAATAGCAATCATGGAATCAAACTTCGAACAGGCGTGGATTTTATTGGGCGACCGTGTCCTCGCCCCCAATTTCAACATAGTAAGATGGTATTCATGAGTCGCGCTAAACTGATGAAGGAAATGTTGGTTCTGAAGCGTCAAAGCTAATGCAACGAAGGTGCTCAGCCGCGACATTCCCTCTTGAAAGTTGAAACTCTAGCGGCGGAGAAATGGGGGCGGTGACTGCGGGTCCTTCTGCAGGCATCGTTATCATAACTCCGTACTTATCGGGTAAGAACGACTCCTAAGGTGTCTTTTGGACCACCATTCCCGACTCGCGCATAGATCTTGCATATGTCACGAGAGATGGAACCTTGTTATTGGATTGCCTTTCTTTTTCTTATCTGGAGCTTATTCTACATATTTCCTCCTGGGCGGAGGACGTGGTTTAGGATGACTTGCTAATTACCGGAACTTGACCTGCCAGAATCGGATAATTCTCACCTCATAGCGTCGAGGCTCTGGGATTAATTCGGGCTAAGTCCCCTCCTTGATGTCATCGTGGTTCGTTCATGTTTCTATATACGGTCAATTTGTGCAGTAAGCCCGGATGGATCCACGCTACCGCGACGCTACTGCAAGATAAGATGCGTGTAAGAACACAAGCAGCCTCAGGCAACTCTGGCCCCCAGGCTGACCGCACGAATCCTTTTGGGGGCTATCACCACCTGCGCCGCACCTTCAAGACTGGTTACAAGGTTGCGACATGTTACAGACTGCTCAAAAAAACGTGGCTAACACGAGGTCGGCAGGGGGGCCGTCAGCCCTAATGGGGAGAGCCGCCCCCACGCACCAAGGCGGATGGCAGGGCACCCAGTCTGACATCCATTGCTCATGGAATGTACGACTGCAGCTCGATGTCGGATGAGAAGCGTGTTGATTGGTGGACGCATCTGGAGTTCCTCAATAGCATGGTGCAGTCGCCGTCACCCGTCGAGGATTAATATCTACCCAGATCTTCCCATCTTCTGGCCGATGTACTTACTGTAACTACTAAACGTGCCTGGTCTATACAAAAGCTCAGCTCTGATCTTCCGTGAAGCAATCAGACTTTATCATTCTTTCTCTCCTTCCACTACGTCCGTCATTGTTTTGCCAACTTCTCCCTCACCTGTTGTCTCTTCCTCTACCCTTTTAATTGCAACCCCATCAACTTCCACTTACCTTTTAGCCCTTTATACTCGATCACCAAAGAACACTAATCACAATGGGTGACGCCGGAGACTACACCGCATTCCAGGCCATCACGGCCCAAATCCCTATGGGATCCAAGGGGAGTTCCTTCTTTTTCCCCACCCTTACTGACGGAGTTATCTTAGATAAAGAGCAGACCGACCAGGCGCAAATCCCCCTGGACCTGGGCACCGTCTCCCAGGGAAAGGCCCTCGCTGCATTCTGCGAACGACATGGACTGTCGGTCCTGAGCGTGCTGAATGTCGCTTGGGCCATGGTTCTCTCCGCGTATGCCGACACCGAGATGGTCGGATTTCTCTTTGCTCGATTCGTCGCCGGTGTGCCCCATGTGGGCGTCTACCAGGCGGAGATCGACGGGGGCAAGTCCGTGCTGAAGACGCTCGTCGACGCGGAAGAGAACCTGCAGGCCAGTGTTTCGTCATCCGCCCTGATGACACCGGCCGAATTCCAGGAATTGTCCGCCCGAGCGGGTGGTCCAGCTTTCAACAGCGTTGTGATGCTGTATGATGAAGAATCCCCGGAGCGGGAACAGGTACGGACTCCTGGCGCGATTATTTTGCTCGATCGTGATGTCACTGACAAGGAGCACCAAGCCGGGCAATTACCTTGCCATTCACGCCCGGTACCTACAGGATCGGTTTGTCGTCGACCTGCAATGTCCGACTTCCTTGATCCCTGCCTCGCAGGCAAAGCACTGCGCGGCGACTCTCAGCCACGTACTCGGTGAGATCATCAAAGCCCCCCGAACCCCCCTCTCCGAGGTAAGTTTAATGAGCCAGGATGGAATGCACCAAATCTGGGAATGGAACAAGCGGATGCCCGAGGTGGTCTCTCGCTGCCTGCATCACCTCATCGACGAGCGGGCCTGCAAAGAGCCCGAGGCACTGGCTATCCAAGGCCCAGATGGGTGCATGACATACGGCGAGCTGCAGGCGCTCACAGATCGCCTGGCCCACTATCTGGTAGATCGGGGTGTGGGCCCTGAAGTGGCCGTGCCCCTGTTCTTCGAGAAGTCCAAATGGGCCATTGTCACCATGATCGCCGTCGTTAAAGCGGGCGGCGCCATTGTGAATCTGGACGCCAAACAGCCTCGGTCCCGTTTGATGGAAATCATGGAGCAGTTGCAGGCTCCCTTGATCCTCACCTCCCAGCAATATGCACCGCTCTGGCAGGACAACTGCAATGTCTTCTCTGTTCACCAGGAAAGTGTAATGGCACTTCCGGCACAGAAAGCATCCCCAGCGGTCGCTGTCACACCCAGAAACATCCTGTACATTATTTTTACCTCCGGTAGTACCGGAACCCCTAAGGGCTGTGTGGTGGAACACGAGTCCTTCCTGACGGCTGCAATCCAGCACGTCACCGCGGGCGAGATCGACCCGACCAGCAGAATCCTACAGATGACACCGTACACGTTTGATGTTAGCATGCTCGAAATCTTCACCACTCTCACTACCGGTGCTTGTGTCTGCTTCCCCAGCGATGAGCTGGCACAGCATGGCATCGCTCATATCATCAACGCGCTGCGCATCACATGGACCTTCATGACTCCTTCGGTGGTGCGCTTGGTCGATCCCGCTGATGTGCCTACTCTGAAGACTCTGGCTCTTGGAGGTGA